AGCTGTGTCATAAATAGATAATTTGTTTTTTTTTAATGATTAATACTGACGTTCAGAATATTTGGCACTTGTTTGTACTAATCTAGATTAAAAAATTATAATTTATCAATTTGAATGACATAAATTTATAATAAAGTGTACATACATAAAAGTAAATTGCGTAGTAACAATATAGAAAATGATTTCTCGGGTCTGGGTTGTTCTGAAATTTTCATAACACAAATGCTTTAGCCAATTTTTGAGATTTGAAATAAATAATTATTATTTAAAGAACGAACTAATGTAAGTACGTAATGTGGTCCATTTTTTTGTTATTTATAACACTGTTTGGTATTGCTATTCCATTAATTAACTTCGTAAATACTATGAATATTAATTACAAAATTAAAAATATATTCTTAAATTCAACACCCTGAAATCATGTTTTACAATACTAATGAACTTTTTAATGTATCAGATAAGATATTTGAATTACATACATTAATAGATCATTAGTGACCTTTCACCTTTTTTATTCTAGCTTATCAAGCAATAGATCGTTAATTAGCATTTGTTTTACTGCATGATGGCTGACGCGTGCAATCGTACACCAAATAAATAAATCTTTGATACATCAATCACCATCCAAAACAACTTATTACAAATGTGCATTGTAAAATTATAATTGCAAGAATAAAAATTATTATTACATGCATACGAACAGAGGCTCATGACTATCCATAGCATACGCCACCTTAGCGATGTTATGACGACAATATGTTAGTTAACAACTTTTTCTATATCATAAAAAAGTAGTCCATTAATGTCTGAAAACCTTTCGCAATTCGGGCGACTACTCTAACCACTGAGCTACCCAGGACCTAACAGGACTGACGAATCCTTCAAGCGCTTGTTACTTATCGCTACTACAGAGCGTATTCTCATCAATGTTCAGGCATCCACCCAAACAGCCGAAAGAAATATTATTACAAATATTGAAACTTTCGATAAAGATGAGAATTTTGTTCTAATTATTATTTTTGATTAATTTCGCATTCACAATGTTAATTAATCAAATATTACGATTAATAGTTTCGGAGATACGATGTCATTTTTGTGGACCTGCTGCTAGTCGGCTAAAACGCTCCCTACACAAGGCACTAGTGACGTCACATAGTGCTACAGTGAGCATTCTTTGTAATATATGTTATTTGTGCGTTTACATTTATAGCTGTTTTAATTTCAAAGCGTAATATTTTCCAAATTAGTGACTTTAAAAAAAAAACATAAAATGAAACGAAATGTCATCATAACAGCGCCATGATGTGGCATGCTAGTATAGTCATAGCTATAGAGTTAGGTCGTGACACTACAGGGTAAAATGCATTTCGTACTGTCCCTGCTGCCCAAAACGGGACGGCGACGGGTTTGTAGGGTTCTCCGGCTTAAAACGGGGTGACCTACCCATTAAAAATTAAAAATGGACATGCCCACTATTGTAAGTGTTGCCCTGGAAAACCCGGAAGTCGAAGGACCAACTACATGCATACTAATGCCACATACAATAATCAAAATAAAACTGAAAGATAAGTTTTTTTTTTATAGTTATTGTAGGCGCTTTCTGTACTAATTACTATCGGACAATAGTTCGTTAACTTATGATGCCATGAGTATATTTCTGTTCTTATCTAATTGAGATTACAAATGTTAATTTTTCAGTAAATTATTAAAAAATATATTTGCTCTAGCGATTTTTGTTTCTTCGATGTTTCTTTTTCAGCATTGTCGGTGCAAAAAAAACAAGCTTGCATTTTCTTACATTGATAGCAAATTAGAACACAATAAAAATACCACTTGTGTCCTTTAATAGTTCAGAAGCAGATGGAAAGGCCTGTTTCACATTTTCACATACCTAATATTTTTAAAAGAAACAAGTTCTAAACCTGCCCGGGGCAATAATTTTTCAACTTAATTCTTAAAAAACCTTATTATACATCAATGAACTAATTAATCCTAATTATGAGTTCGTGATCAAACCTTGATTAAAAAAAACTTTGACCCGTGCTAGCTTATGGCGGGTGACCTTGCGCCGCGCACGCGTTTCGCTATACACGATAAGCTACCTCGATAATATCTAACGCAAAGATTGCCTACAAGATAATATTAAACTTTCGCAATGTCACATACTTTTACACTTTATCATATAGTTACTAGTTTTCAGCCAGCGGCTTTGCACGCGTGGTCCCTAACCAACTGCATAGTGGAATAGTAGCTTATATGTTAATCCAGACTTAGAATTATCCGTATCCAAATTTCATGAAAATCCGGTCAGTAGTTGTTACGTGAAAAAGTAATAAACATACAAACTTTTGCCTTTATAAGTATTATCCTATATGATTTTTATTTACAAACAGCTGTTGTCCCGCGAAATTGCTCGCGTAAGTTACAACCTATGTCAACCCCGTATGATATAGCTACCCGTAGGTGAAGTTTTTTTTAATCGGTCCTGTATTTTCGGAGTCTATTCAATGCAAACAAACAAAACAATTAAATCTTTCTTCTTATTAAGTATAGACTAGCTCTCCGCTCGTGGCTTCTGCCGCGTGGAATTCGATTTTTATCTCCTATTTCTTCCCCCATGTACGTTGAAATATCAAAAACTCTAGTAAACATTTATTTATTACCCATCCAGGTAACTAATTACAAAGTTTATTATTTTATTTTTCGTTGATGACAACACTTAGCATAATTTTCGCGATAAAAACTATCCTACGTCCTTTCCCAAAGTACACTACCTGTTTACCAAATTTCATTAAATTTGGTTCAGCAAATTAGGCGTGAAAACGTAACTGAGACACACACAGTCAAGAGTTACTATCGCATTTATAATATTAGTACGTAGTATGGATTTCATAAGTCTAATGTTATGTACACACAGAAACACAGCAGATTACTACAAATGGCTACTGCAATCAATAATTAACTGAAATTATTAACAATTCTGCTCATTTTAGCCTAATTATAAAAAGTCAATAGCGTATCAATTACAACCCTTTGTGGTACAGTTCCTTCTGTCACAATTGAGTTATGAGGAAGACAGCACTAATAATATTGGACTTAAGGTACTCGTAGATAGTACAATGACAAAGTGCGAGTAGTTGAGCGCTATTGAGATTACTACGACAATATACATGCAGCAGAGGCCCATGCTGTTACGTATAGAGACGTATTCACCCTAGGACCAAAATGCTTATACCCAGAACAGCAGGCCAAATGAATTTTAACGTGGTTCTAAAGATTATATTCTTCGTTATATAAATATATGAGTATTGGTTTAACTTCTGAAAACATAATATTACATAAAAACCAAGAAAAATACTATTTCATTATTTAAATAAATAATTTATTTGAATTTGATTAATATTACATATGATATAAATGCAATTAATCACTATTACAATTCATAATGTTATCAATAAGTATACATCTTAATTTTTTAATTGGTGGTCAAATAATCTTATTACTTTACCTGAATGTAATAAATAAATTATACTAGACATTACCGTGTTAACTACATAAAAGAATTAAAATAAACAAATAAGACACAAGATGTCAGCCTCAAAAGTTTTAAAACGTTACATAACTATAAAATATTCTTAATGAAAAATCTACTTTGACTCTGGCATTTTGAAATGGGACTCGAACCCATTTCGCAACCCGGGTGACTGCTCTAACCACTAAGCTACCCAGGACCTAACAGGACTGACGAATGCTTCAAGCACTTGTTACTTTTCACTACTAGAGCGTATATACATCAATATTCAAGCTGAAAATTTTTTTATCATTTTGCGGTTGCGAAAGGTCATGGTTCGAGTCCCATCTCAAAGTGCCAGGGACAAAGTGGATTTAAAAAAAAATTAAGAATATTTTTCAGTATAGCATTGTGAATGCAAATTTTATCAAATATAATACATAATTATAGTTAAATATTGCGTGTCATTTTACGACTATACAAATAACTTGGAGTTGATTGAATGTAGATGCTAAAAAAAAAGGTTTATACAAATAAGGACACTAACGCCATCTGGCACAAAAAATAATTGTAATGTTCCATTACATCTTAAGCTTTTATAGAAGAATACGGATGTAGACAGTAAACGAACATAAATACATATCTTTATTTTTTCTGATATTGTTTCATATATTATTACCGATAATCATACTTTTATGCTTATTATATTTATAATGTTGCTTAAATTAATTATGAAAAAATCAAATATTTTATACTCGTTGTCACGTGAACGCAAACAGCGCGTGACGTCACGCCCCTACTTACTCATACCAGAACTTAGAGAATTAAACCTTATGCACTCATAAAACGATATCAGTTAAAGAGGGGCGTGACGTCATAGCGACGCCATGACAGAAGTTGGCGTTTTCGCGGGAGATTTTGATAATTAAATTTATTTTTAGATTTCAACTTGTTATATGAATGGTATATCTATAAAATAAAAATATTTAAAAAGTTGTCTACACCCCTATTCAAAATTTGTTAGTAGTTGAATTGATATTAGAGCCGACAGTAGAATTCATAATCATATATCTATCGTATCTATAATATATTATTAGAGTGATGTAGGTAAAGTTTAAGCAAGGGTTAGGTTTTTTTAACAATTGACCGTCAACCCTTCCCATCGATATCTCTTCGGGCACATGACGCATTTGCACTAGTGCGCGAAATAATTTACTAATCTGCCTGATATTTCTTTTTTTTGTCGTTTACAATTTTCTGGAAATTTGAACAAAACATACGGGGGGCAAGGGGTAAGGGGGAGGAAGGGGGAGGAAGGGGGAAGAAAGGGAGAAATCTGCTCCGATAAAAAAATTACACAAATTAATCTTAAATAATAAACAATATTGCATTGCGTAGTAGATAACGAATTTCGACTTATGAAATCATATATCTCTGGTGGAAACGTCTGTATAATAAAAATGCAAGTTACAAAACATTTTCGCAAAAATCACGAGCCATCTTGACTCTGCAGTTGTTTCAACTGCTTCAAGACGGTGTCGAGCAACTTCTTTCTGTCTCTTTCGTTCTTCTTGAGGACAGTGAAGACAGAAGACTTTTGTTCCGCCTCCTTTAGTTTCTCTAATAGTGTGGCAGCATCACGTGGCGTCACTAATGCATACTTGCCACCTTCTTTGCCGATATCGTGGAGATACGAAGACCATTCCCAACCGTTAACCAGATCTAGTAGTTGTCTGTGGATTTTTTATTTTTATTTTCAATCAATACAATAATTAAGTCCAGGGAAAAAGGTAAGAATAAAATTTCTGAGTATTCTACTCCGTTTGAAAATAGTACTTGTAGGCGTTGATTTTAAATTAAGAAAGCAATAGAATAAATTTTCTAAAAAAAACACGTTATCATGCCTTAAAATTAAATAAAAATTGAAACTTTTTATATACCCTATTAGATACGATATTAGATATATTTTACTGTCAGTCATAGTTATGACGTTATTTCGATATGTACACAAAACAGACGCATAAAGTAGTATAATAAAAGATGTCAATAAAACAAGAAAAGTGCCATCTAGTGATCAACTACAAAATTAAAAGATATGAATAAGACAACAGCAGCGTCTTGTGAGATTTTGATTTATAATAAATAGGCTTATAAGGTTTTTCTATAAATATATAGATACTAAACTATATCAATACAATTTCTGTATTTTATTGTTAGATTCCAGTAATAATGGAAATCATGGTAATATTATTTATTAATTGAATTTTATTAAGCAACCAAAATTATAAGTATAACAGGCGAACTTAACGTTAATAGCAATTTTCGCCAATTTTTTTAATAAACTCAAGCTATCATATTCAGACAGAAGCAAGAGTGTTAAGGGTTCTGTATTATATATTTATTTAAATTGCCTAGTGAAACAGACAAATGGCGAACTTAATGCCAAAGATGGCTGTCTACCAGTCAACCAGTAAAATCAATACAAAAGTTAAAGTGGCGACAGACATCAGAACGTTGATACCGACGCTGGAAAGTTAATATGTAGTAACCTGCAAAACCAAAACGGATATTTAGAGTGGAAAATCTTTATATTTAAAAAAAAATACATTTATAAAAATTATCGAAAAAACTATTAATTTTTCTGCTCTGAAGTACAATATTGGTTTTGAGGGTTACTACGTGTTTGCTTTTCAGCATCGATATGTACATTTATATACATAAATCTTTATATATATATGTCGCATCATCTTTACGAAGATCGTTTGATTTAGTTTCTTTTATTTTAATTGCTAGTTACTCGATTACTTAATTACTCGATTGTAGAGAGAGCGTGATCATCGATACTTTAATTTTATTAGAATGGTGACACTGACTTTGACAGTTCGTTAACAAAAACCAAATTGCCGCCATTTTCGCTCACATTCTGTTTCCGATCGCCGAGGAGTAAAGACATCTGACGACATCACGCTCATCTCGTTATATTTTCGTATGAAAAGTGATAAAATGGAACAAATCCACGTTGGTATACACGCCTGCAATATTATTTTAAAGATAGTCCTCCGATATGGACGATCTATTTGGGCTTCGTAATATCCCCTTTTGACTACCAAAAAGTTACAAATCTGCCTTCAAAAATACCTTAAACTGGCGAAGTGTTCCAGCAACTCCCCCTCCTTTAGACCTGGCACAGGTTCTCCAGCTGCGAACTGTTCACACTGTATCACGTCCAGGTCCAACTGGTGTAATGCACCGGACGAGATCTGCTTCACGGCCGGATCCAGCAGCAAGTTGCGGAGACGAGTCGCTATACGATTAGTAGCAGCACGGACTGCTGCCACTCTGATAGAATTAATTTAGAAAAAATATATAAAAATTAGATTTTATCGTCTACTAACATAGAAGCAAAATTTGTTCTTTTAAGCTTTAGTAATTTATATTTAAAAAAAAATTAATAATAGTAACAGTTACTTGACTGTTTAGTGAATAGTGCTTTTAAAACTCTCATCATATTAAAACACTATGAGATATATTTTTATCTAAAAGGTGTTTACATTTCGAGCCGTAATGTCACAAATTAATACACATAAGTACTGGATGCACTCGTAAAAAAGTTTATTGAAATGTGACGTCATACGATGCTCCGTCAAGCCCGCTAACGTTTCGGTTCTTAAAATATACAAACGATAATATTAAAACAAAAAATAGTACATAGTTATTGTTTATGGTACCATTTAACAGCAAGTTTCATAATTTATTGTTATTAACTGTCGAATTGGTAATTAAATTAATTTTCCGTTTCCATTAATTTTTCACATTATTTTGTAAGCTTACCGAGCTCTCTCAGGCAATTGTTCTAATGATGTCAACACTCCAGAAAGATAGCTCAGCATGTCAGCGACAAAAGAAGATGCTTGACCCGTTGGTTCCACTATGAAGGAAATAAAGTTTAATATAAGAAAGATAATTCATATAAGAGATCGACGGCGCAGTGGCTAGCGCACTCGGTAACTGTTGTTAAGCAACTTTTACAATGGCCAGCCATAGGATGGGTGACCAAAAAAATTAATATCTCGAACTCCTCCGTGGTTGGAAAGGCACGTTAAGCCGTTAGTCCCGGTTGCATCTGCAGTCGTTAATACCCACCAATCCGCACTGGGCCCGCATGGAGGCTTATGACCCAATTTGATTCGATTCCATTCATATGGAAGGCCTGAGCCCCAGCAGTGGAGGACCATAATGGTCTCGTGATGCTGATTATAAGAAGGAGCCTTCATCGCTTAAACAATATAGCCATTGTAACTCAGTCAATTAAGGTTTCGATGGCTCATTAACACGTGTAGTGGTAATCTCAACCGTATAATATTCTTGTGGTTTCACTTTGAAAATAATAAATCAATCAAGTTTTAAACGATACTTAATTTATTAATTTACAGCAAAGGAACATTCGAATATATTTTTCAAGAACGTGTCACAAAGAGTGAATCCTAAAAATTTGACAAGTAAACTTCTTCTTTTATAAAAATAATTATGTTGGTATATAGTAAGTATTTACATATATTCTATAAGTTTTAGGTGCAGCTGCCACAGCACGTATGGCCTGCAATTGTAGAGGTTAAGCAACTACCCAAGGCCGGTAATTGGATCGGTGACCAAAAACGCATCATTTCGAGATTAAAGGTACGTTAAACTATTGCTCCCGTTTGCATCTGCAATTTTTAGCACCCACCAATCCTTATTGAGCCTGCGCGGTTAGTTAAGGACTGTTTTTTGTTTCGTTTTCCTGTTTCTTCCATAGGAAATCGTGAGCAGAGGGTATATTTTAAATTAATTATGACAATGAAGCAGCTTCGATCTGTTATAATGACCTGAAATGATGTCTCTACTTCAAGCTGGCCGATATATCTTTAGTAAATTCGTACTGAAACGTATGTAAACTAAGATGCGTACACTCAATCGAATAGCTCACCCAATAACCAATCATAGTTCTCCAAATCCAAAAATTCGTCAACCTTCTTTTCTAGTTTGTCGCAAATTTGTTGTTCGGCGTCATCTCTTGCCGCTTGGAACATGCTACCTGCAGCCTATAAATAATTAATATAAGGATTATTATATTCTTAATACAAAATGCTTAAAAAGTCCACTTGTTCCCCGGCAACCTGAGATGGGTATCGAATCCACAACCTTTCGCAATCCGGGCGACTGAAAAACCCAAACAGCCGAAAGAAATATTTTTCAGTAAAGCATTGTGAATGAGAAATTGTGAAAAAGAAATATATAATAATCATTACAACAAATTCTCATCTTTATCGTAAGTTTAAATATTTGTAAAAATATTTCTTTCGGCTGTTTGGGTGGATGCCTGAACATTGATGAATATACGCTCTGTAGTAGCGAAAAGTGACAAGTGCTTGAAGGATTCGTCAGTCCCGTTAGGTGCTGGGTAGCTCAGTAGGTTAGAGCAGTCGCCCGGATTGCGAAAGGTCATGGGTTCGAGTCCCATCTCAGAGTGCCAGAGACAAAGTGGATTTTTTAAGCATTTTTCATTAAGGATAATTATAAAATTAAGTTCTAATGATAATATAATTACAATCATAATCCTGCGACATATACAAGAATGCCAATATGTCCGTTTTATCAGATATACTATAGGATTGGAACTAATTTTTGTTTGTATTGTTTTTTATAGAGGTGTGAGGCAGGAATACGTTATCTTTCCGAAGCTAAATGAAATAAAGCTATTTATCGATGCTTTAGAAAATATAGTCAAGCTTCTGGATTGTAAGGATATGTATATCACAATATGGCTTTGCATATGATATAGTCCTAATGGCTGAGATATTGGAAGATCCGAACACCATGCTTGAAGATCTCAGTAGTGTATCCAGAAGAATGGATCATAAGATTAACATGGATAAGACATATGTTATATATGTAAGTATATATTAAATGTCTGTATATTTTTGTTGATAAATCTTACCCTACCAGCATTGGTTTCCCCACATCATTATAAGGTTAACTGGTAAAGAATGCCTAAGGTATTAATTTCGCCATTGTACATAAAGTATTTCAAAAAAATAAGACCAAATATAATGTTGTGTCCACTCCACTCAAAATTGGGAATACTACTCTTGAAGTTGTGGAGCAACTTTCAGAAAAATATTATCGTCGAATTTAACTCAAATTGGCAACGTTCGATAATAATAAAATGTTTATGAACAAATAATGAGCTTTCGAAATCAAAATAGATTTCGCTTTGCATCATTTGATTCAAACCTAGTATTCAATTTAATTATCTATGAAATACGTTAAGATTTTCTTTCTGATGTAATAAAACTAGATAGGGTGTGTAAAATTAGTATCATGTCTAATCTTTGAGATTGCGAAATATTAGTAATGTACATGATTTATATAACGAACACGATCGGCGTAGGTTATGCTATATAAAGATCAATGACCTCACATGTATATTTTAACATGGACATGCTTAATTAATAACATGGAAATATTAAACTCGAAATTGCAATATTTTAATGAAATTGAGTTAAAGAACCCCGGGATGCGTGGGTCAATCCAACCTAGTTAAATCCCGTGATATAGCACTACATACGCCGAGCACTGATAATGACGACCTTTATAATGAAACACTTACTTGTGTAGTAACCAACTCAGATCCAGTTATATTGCTGATGAACTCGTACAAGTATAATGTGGCATCTTCCAAATATTTCGTATCCACAATTATCTGAAACAGTCACTTTTATCCATTATTTATTCCAGTAAACGAGTTGGTAAATTCTTATTGTTTTTACATAAGGGATCAAAATCATGGCGCCCAATTTAATTTTGTAAATTTTAGCGATCAGACATGTGACGTCATTCTGTTAGTAAACAACCACGGTGGCCAACCGTCATAAGATTACTATGCCGAATTTTAGTGTAGTCGCTTAGTGACATCATACTTTCAACTCTTAAACCACGCAACGTATTACAACGCTGTTTTCACTGTTAAATAAGATATTTTTTAAGCCAGACCGGGTCAAATAGCTATTATAATAATATTGATAAAAAGACACATGAGAATATATTTAATAATTACCTGAGTTAATTGCATGAGAGGCAGAGGTCGTCGGAATAGTGCAGACAAGCAACCAGTGAAAGACCTGTTAAAGTTAATTTTGTGGAAGATTATGATATCAGATAAAAAGTAACTATATACATACTTTGGATATAATTTCATACTTATACGCATTTATATACGAGCCCCCACTCAACTTTGCTTTTATTTTATTATTATTTTTTATTAATCAAGGCATTATTTACTAATAAAAGAATGTTAATTGCTAATGCGCTGGAACCTTATCTAAATAACACTCACGTGACAACACATGAAAGTATAAAGTACAGATAGCACAAGGGAAAAGATATTTTTTTTTATTAATAATATGCTTATGAATAATCTCCAAAATATTGTTATAATAATTTAATAACTTAAAGTTTATAATTTATTGCATACATTTTTGGAAAAGAATCAATTTATATGAAAATATTGAAATTAAAAAAAATTAAACACATTACATTTACTTTGGAATAAAAAGCTAACAAAAGGAAAGATTTTTTAATACATAACAAAAATTTATAATGAAATGAGACACAGATATACTTATTATTAGTGAATTTATGTTTATTAATTGCGAAAATCATATTACAAGTTGCTATTTTAATCAACCAGTGTTTATTTGTTATCGGTACTGATTTTTTGAATTACGTCATCAAAATGGCGGTCAGGCGAGTTAGCAATTTGCGGGGATAATACTTATTTCAATGCAGTTGCTCATAAAGCGCTATTTTTTTAATCTATTGTAAACACCGAAAGTGAGTCTTTAAACACGTGTTAAATAAAAATGTACTGAATTCCCTTAAAGGCACACGTGCTTAAAAGTATTTTTTTTTTCTTTTTTGGCCGAGCACCAAAGAAATTAAAAAAAAAATTGATGAAATTATAACAAACTTTAGAGGCATAAGTATTTCAAGGTGCCTAGAACGAATATTTTCAAATAAAAATGTATGACACGAAAACATGTTCAAATATCACGTTTAATTTTAACAAATAATTTTTACCTTTAATACATACTTAGTTTTATTAACCTATATATTTGTTTTATTTCCTCGCAAAAAGCATTGAAAAATGTTGTAAGAAACTTGAGCGTATTCGTGCCAATGAAAACCCTCGCTACGCTCGTGTTTTCGGGTCGTCGCAATTTGGCCCTTATTTGTAAAACCTTACTTTCCACACTCGTATCTTAAATAACTATTTCATAATACCTGCTCAGTAGTAATGATGCTGAATGTCTAGCGGCAGCGGCACGTCTACTGCCGCCGAGTCCAAGTCCCGCTGAATATTTCAACCAGGCGTATATAAACTCCTTCACTTGCACGTATACAGCGGGCACTATCGACGAAAACGGAAATCTGGCCGAACACAAATTATATACATATATATATTTATAAGAAAGTAGTGTTGGTTACACCGTTTAAAACTCGATAACAGCTGAACCGATTTTTAAGATATTTGCGTTTTTGGAATTGTCTTCATCGGATAATAAGTATTCAGTACAAATAATAAATAAATAAATATCGGACAACATCACACACATTGATCCGATTCTTAGGTAAGTAGCTTAGGCACTTTTGTTACGGATATCAGAAACAACCGGGGGAATACAAATATATACATAATATAAATAGAAAACACCCAGACACAGAACAGACATAATCGTTAATCTCAAAAATGTTTGTCCTGGGTGGGGATCGTCCCCACGACTCTCGGCGCAATAGTAGGAACGCTACCACCACGCCATTGATTTATAAAAGACTCAAATAGTTGTATTATTGCATTATTTTTAATTATCGTATAAAAAAGACTTGAATAAAACGCAACTGAAAGTTCACATAATGCCGCCCATGTCTATGGTTTATTTTAATTATTCATTAACGGTTAGGCTTTCCATAGATATTGTCCACTTTTTATGTTTCTTTTTTTTTATTTATTTATGAAGATTACAATACACTTATGATAAAAATTACATAAATTACTTCGGTCATTGGTCGTAGATAAATTAGGACTTATTGTAAACTCAATATCGTTGGTAACGTTTAAATACATATTACATATTCTAATGCAAACTAAAGATTTAAATTATTTGCAAGACTCATACAACTTATGTTTAAATTACATTAAAACTATACATATAGAACCAAATCATATTGCCAAAAAGTATTCTATTATATCCAGTGGCGTAACTGTACCGTTTGAGGTCAACATTTCCTATGATCTGCTTAGCAAACTGCTAAGCAGATCATAGGAAATTTTGTTTACCTAAATCTTTTGTGTAACTGAATGAACATTTTCATATTATATTTCAGCAAAATACGTAACATTAATGTATGTCATTAAAATGGAATATATTAGTTTATAAAACTATTTAAAGCGTAAATGAACCATACAATATTAAGAATTAATACAACATGTGGTATGTTTCACTGTTTAATTTTAATGTCAACCAAGGGAAGTTTCCATATATAATTGTAAAATGTTAAAGACATAACCTCTGGGCTGGGACCTAACCACATGTTTTGTTATTACCCAAGTCTACTTTGTGGTTTATTGGATCTGGGTGTTGCGGTACCTTCGTTGTCACAGATACTCATCTTAGAATCTGAGCAATATATGTAGTAGAGTTGTCTTATATCAATTTATTAATCAGAAATAATTAATATTGTGGAATATTAGATTTTTGATGCAGTGGTTTATATTTATTTTATTTAAATGTAAATTGTATTCGAATATTGTATCTTTTATCTCATGTTTTGTACCAGAATAAATAAATAATTCATTCAAATATTTGCACACGTACTTTCTAGGATACGGTTGCGTTTCCAACTCTTCACCATCGTAAGGGAACGTATCCATGACTCCATCATATTGCTCTTGGTTTTCAACCTGTACAATAAAGCCACATATAAAACTCAATATTAAAAAAAAAGTAATGTGATTTAGATCAATTTATCTTTCAATCGTCGATATATATGAAAAGCTTTTAAGGGTCGGTGTATATCTGATGAAAGATATCACGTGATGTCGGTCGCAAAACGTCAAAACTCACAAATCCATATATAGTATAAAAAAGTAGCTTCCCGCTGTTTGTACTCTGAGATCTTTAAAATTACACAACGGATTTTAATGAGGTTTTCATTAATATACAGAGTGATTCAACAGGAAGGTTTATATGTATAATACAGGACCACGTGAGTGAAGTCACTGGCGGAGGGCTACTCTATACATATAAAAGAAAGAAGAAAGTCGTGTTAGTTACACTATTAATATTATTACATTTGTGTTTTTCGATTTGTCTTCGTCGGATATAGGATAATAAGTATTTAAAATATTATATTTTATGGCCAAAAGTAATAATTATAAAAGAAGCAAAAAATTTGTGATAATAGTGTGATTTGTCATATTAAAACTCATCTGACACTGCACGTTATATTGTCTATGGTTTATTTTATCGTCATTATTGTCCACGTTAATTAATTCTTTTCAATACTTTGAAATAATAAGACATGGTTCCTGCGTTTTCTTTAATCTAGTCATAGCAGAGAAAGAAGAAAAAAGGTTTCGTTCGTCATTGCTAGTTAAGATCATCGAAACTGACGTAATGACCGATTATAATATTTTGTGTATTGTTAAAAGCTCGTCCTCTATCGGATTAACAAAAACAGTAACATACGTCACGTGATAAAGGACACCGACTGACACTAACGTGACGTCACAAAGTCATTAAAATTCTACTATATCACAAAATAATTTTTACTTTGACCTTTATGTCTACTGCAAGATATTATAAATATTTTAGGTTCACTCTTTACTATGATAAAATTCGCTAGATACATCTGCGCGAGCGCAACAGCAATATATTTGCGCACCAGTGAAAGAGACAAGTAATGTCGGGAGCGAACGTGCTTTAATTCCAAAAGATCAATCACATTTTAAAGTATTAAACATATAGAAGCACTTACCTCGATAGGTAAGAATGGCGCGTTATCAAGGATATCCCTAAAGACGACCACCCATCTTTGCATAAGAACTTCCGTGTAATGCTCCGCCATCTCTTGCAATAACAAAGGCAAGGGATCTGCAGGCAAGCCGTAACACCTATAATGGATTATAATCCTTATGTTAACCCGTTATCAACCTTATTACAAGAATAATACAATTTTAATTTCCATAATGGCTTTTGCATAATGCATTGAGTGTTATGTAGTGAACTAAATTGTTAAGGTAAAAGTAACTCAATTTTATAATGGCTAGTTGACATATAAAGGTGATAAGTCGTTAACTAAATTTTAAGTGGTTAAGTACGTGGAATTTTATAATTAATAATTTTTAGGAATATTTTAATTTTTAATTATGGAACCAACCATTATGGAACTTAATATATAAAATTGGAGTGTCTGTTTGTAATATTAAATTAACCGCGTGTCACTAAATACATATATATGTAAACATGATACATATACGAAAAACAATACATATTTTAAATGTTTTGTCTGTCTGTTTATTCCCGATTATCTCTGAAATGGCTGAACTGACTTTAAAGGGACTTGCACTGGCATCTGCCAGTTCACGGTTCAGTTCGCTACTTCAAATTCAATCTAGGCTACTTTCCACGTGAACGAAGTCGCGGGCACAGCTGATATTTCATATAACATGACGAGCTCGTTAGCACATTGGTAACTTCTCAATAAGACGGGTGACCAAAAATGTATTATTTGGCATTGCTCCGTATTTCGAAAGGCACGTTAAGCCGTTGATAAGTGGTTGGCCGTATTTGCAGTCGTTAACACCAACCGATCCTCGCTGGGCCCGCGTGGTAGGTAATGGCTTATTCAATTCGATTCCATCTATAGGTAAGGTCTGTGTCCCAATAGTGAGGGCTGATAATTTTAAAAACTATCAAAATCACTTTCAATTTTATGTTTGTAAGATATTTATAAATTTTACGCTACAGATATTTAACAAAAGAAACGAAAAAATGTTAATACTTACTTGAGCGTGTTTATAAACAACACGATCTGATGTTTGATACTCAACATAAGAGTTGGATCAGTGATGAGTGATGTATTAGTCCTCAACGTAGAAGCTACTTTAGTGATGGCCATACTCCACGTATCCAATAACCAATCTTTGGACACCAGACCTGCTCCAGCACTTAGTAAATATTCCTCCAATATAAAAAAACCCAATACAGCGTTTAAATAGTTCTTCACACTCTGTATTGAGTCGTGCAAGTTGCCCGAAGGTATTAGAACTAAGCGAGCCTGCTGTTTTCGCTGTGCTCTGAAAAACAGTCAAAGGAATATAGACTTTATGGCACAGAAGGGAAATGAAAAGGTTCGTCAATTTTCAAACCGATTCCTTTGAAGTCGCGATCACTTATTACCTTATGGAACTTAGTCACAAAATATAATGTTGCATAGAACACTACGTTTAATTCCTTAACAATAACGTTTATTTTTCTTTAAAATTTAATTTAATTTTAAAAAGATCCCGTTTTGATGGAAAATTTTATATAGTCTAACCTATCAATTTATAATAGGTAATGACAGATAATTCTTTGATTGATGAAGCTGCTATAGAACTGTCATTACATGTTACTACTGGCTTAACGTTAACATTAAATAAAATTGACATTGGTAGTACAGGGAAAACTCGACTTTATGTTGAAGAACATTTTCCATCTCCCACTTAATAGTGAATTAACATGACACCTGAAGGCCCATTCTATTTATCTTAGAACGAAAATTATCGTTCTTATAATTTCTTGAAAAATTATATCTGTGAATATTATTTATGCATTTGAGGCAGCGTCTGATCCTACTTCCGTTACATCATATAATATTACTAGCTTTCCGCCAGCGGCTTCGCCCGCGTGGTCTTGTATTATACATAAAAACCTTCCTTTTGAATCACCCTATCTATGAAAAAAAAACGCATAAAATCCATTCATCATCATCATCATCATTTAAGCATACATAGGGATATAGGGACAGAGAAAGCGACTTTTATACTATGTAGTGAAATCAAAAATCGATTCTTTGGAGTCGTATTAGTATTTCGAAAAAACGAAACTTCGTTTTCGTAGAAATAGAACGGGCCATCATTGTCATATAGGTACCTATTATTGAATTAAATCAAGTCTTTTTAGTTCATGTGGTTACAAATAATATAAGAATCTATAACAGCAAATTTGTCACATAAAGTTAATATTAAATACTAATATTAATATAGGCGACAACACGTCAGGTGTACAATTACAAGAAGTAGAAATTCTCTGATTGATTTTAAGCTTTAATATGATAGTAGTTAAGTTCATTTTGATTTTGTACTCTTCGCTCGACACGTTAAAGTTGAAAATGGAGTGCAAAAATATAGATTTATGTAATCTGACGTGCTGTTTACAATACACGAATATTAAGATTTTAAATTCAAAAGCTTTGCTTATTGAGTAAATATCTGCTGAGTTTTAACCCATTTCTATGCTGCTTATTTGTGCTGTTCCTACCTTACTGCTATTTTTTTTTTACTGTACTCATAAATTGATGAGGATGAAAAGAAAACAGAAGTTATCTATTTACTTAATATGTTAATATGTATGTATATCAATATTGAGCATGTATATTAATTTATGAATCTATTTTGCTTTTTTAATTTTTATCGCCTTATAACTGATCTCCGACATCTGTTCGGATTGACTGGTAAAGAATTACTTAGGCATTAAGTCCGCCTTTTGTGATAAATACGTTTCAAATTATTTTTTATCCAAAACCTGCAGGGCGATTCTGAAAAAAAAATCGAACCCGAATTCGAATTCACTCATGCTCATGTGTCCGAATCCACGCCATTTAGTGAAGATATTCTATTGATTCCATTTTTTGTACAAAAATAAAAAACAAAATTGATTGATTATAAGTGTCTCAGATATTCTATTCCTACATCATTGCAAAACTCATTACCAATTCAAGATTGAGCGGATGCCGCTTTTTCAAGTGAATTCTAATTCGGGTTTGGATTTTTTACAGAATCGCAGGACTGGAGCTAAAAATTTTACCTGTAGTACTGTATGAAGTCATTCTTGGCTCCTAATACACTATGTATGTGTAAGCAACGATGAAGAGGACTGAAGTCCACCAGTTCATGTGGACATTGTGGGCCCGCGTTCTCCCGTCCAGCTATACCCAACACTGCCATATCTAATCATAATATTATTTATTTATATATAGACTTTATTATACAACAATGTTAAATATACACATAACAAATAGGGTAAAAAAAAAGAAATTCTATTTAGTTCGTCAGTCAGATAATAGTAATATTTTAGATACTTTTTTTTTTTGCTTCAATAGGGATGATGACTAATTTTTGTTTGTTTGTCCGTCAGGTAGAGTGTTAAAAAATATTAAACACGTATTTTTTTATTTTTTTCGTAATCATAAAATTACGGCATTACAATGAGTTGAAATTTCGCATGACGTCACGTTAGAGTACGTTTTCTACTCAACTGTGACGTAGCGAGCCCCCACTCCTTAACTTTAATGCCTGTTATCTATACTATTTCTTGTTAAATTGAAATAAAAAAAAATACGTATCTAATTTCCTATTATCTGACTGACGGACTAAATAGAATTGCATTTTTTTTACCCAGTCATCATCCCTATTCAATCAAGACATGGATTAGATAATAGAAATTAAAGAGGAGTGGGGGCTCGCTACGTCACAGTTGTGTAGAAAATGTACAAAAGCGTGACGTCATGCAACATTTCAACTCAAAGTATCGCAGTAATTCGATTACACAAAAAAAAAAACATATTAATCATATTTATACAAAAGTATACTAACTTAGTAGTAGCTCGGTGGCGTAGTGGATAAGCGCCGCGGCCCGCGATCGTAGTCGTTAAGCAACTTTCGCAAGGGTCGGTCACGGGATGGGTGACCAAAAAATTATTATCTCGAGCTACTCCGTGCTTCGGAAGGCACGTTAAGCCGTTGGTCCCGGCTGCATTTGCAGTCGTTAATACCCTCCAATCCGCATTGGGCCAGCGTGGAGGGTTATGGCCCATCCTCCTTAACCATCCATAAGGAAGGCCTGAGCCCCTGCAGTGGGGACGTAAAAGGGCTGGTGATGATGATGGTGATACTAACTTAGAATCAGAATTATTCACTTGTAATAGTAAATTATCAGTGATATTGGAATAAAATGACGTTGATGATCATCTCATAAGCGTGCAACTTTTCTTGAAAGAAATTTTAATTCTTTAAGTACAAAACAAACAAAACTTCACTATTTGATTAAGTTTCTAAGTAAGTTTAAAACTCCGAATAAGAACCATATCCATATTAACATATTCGTTTGAAATAATTGCGGTATCCACTCCAACTGCTGTTAATAAATCTGTTAATAATTGAATGCTCAATCAACTAAATATGAAATAGTGCGTGCAATTATTAGGATAATCTATCCTTTAATGACATTAAAATGTACTTCAATATTGTATAAACAAATATTATAACATAATTCACATGGGAAAATTTCTATTGGATATTAGTTATATTATGCCACGCCGCAGCTGTTGAAATAAAATAGATAAGACTATGAATCTGACATTTCACCTTTTTTATTTTTTACAATGGAGGCTAGACTTCTGCCTAACATGTCTTGAGTTTGTTTCAACGCCATTGCGCCAACCTGTTGATGAATATTGAATATGATAGAAATACGTTACTGAATATTCACGAAACGTCTAAAGAGAGCCCTTGGATAACTGATTTCTTATTATCGTATGGTTTTGGCAAACAGAGCTCAATGGTTAGCGTGCTTGGTCTGCAAAGAAATGCTAAGCAACTTTCGCATAGGCCGGTCATACAATGGGTGACCAAAAATTTATTATCTCGAGTGTTCTGTGCTTCGGAAGACAGGTTAAGCTGTTGGTCCCACCTATCTGCAATAATTAACACCCACCAATCAGCACTGGACCAGCGTGGTGGGTCATGCCCTAACCTTCTTATTAAATTTAATTAGACCATCTATAGAGAAGGCCTGAGCCCCAAGCAATGGGGATATTAATACGCTAATGATGATGATGAAAGGTGTTGCCAGAAGCTATAAAAATGGCTAGCTTTTATGGAAAACGTATGTAAAAACCGAGTATTAGAGAGCACTGTTTGCCGGGTATGGATATTCCATTTCCCTAATCGCCAAACATTAACTATATATTCATTGAACTTCTAGTTTGAACCAAACCTGAGGGCTAAGTTTCCGTATGTTCTCTAGGAAGCCTCTCAAGTCAGCCATAGAAGCGTCTTGTATGGATTGTCGTAATCGTGGTATGTCTGCTGATATCTGTGAACACCACTTATAAGGGCCCACACGTGGAAGAAGCACGTGTTCCAATTGCTCCAGAGTCTTCAGAGCAGGATAGTACCTAATAAAGAGGAGTATACATCATTAAGATGGAACAGAGCATTCAAATTATATGCGGCTATCAATTCGTGGCGCGAGATTTAATATTAATACAATATTATTTTATTTCCAGAGAAAGATATTTCATAGATTATTATAGACTGATCTCCCCTCTGCACAGCAGACAAGTTTCGAATCCTACTAAAAGTTGTTAGATTACTTCTATCACAATACCCAGCTAGATCGTTTATGAATATCGGCCCAAATGAGTACATAGCCAACAATTCAAGATACTTGTGTCTGCTAACAGAGACGCTGACCTTAGAACCGGTGATCCAATCTGCTATGGGAGTTGTGTCCATTATGCTCAGCAGTCATATGCCTAAATCGCGACACTAGTTTTTATTAAAAGATACCTTAATAGCATTGGAGCACTTTACAAACCTCTTAGCCTCCACTTGAGATTTCAACTTTGAATAGGTGGTGAGTAATGGCAAGCAAAGTTCCATCTTTTCAATTGTGGCAGCTATGTTTAGTTCTACACGTCGTGCTCTTATTAACTCATCAGCGCCAGCACACAAACCTGATAATTACAACTTTATTATGACAACAAAATGAAATTATGAAATCAATATAATTAAAAAAATTTTTTGGCACAACACTAAAATTGTGTAGCCATTAGAGATTAAATATAATGTAGTAAAATAGGTAACAAATTACTTTCTGTGGCCTCCTTAACATTGGCATCAACATTGGATATTTCTGCATGCAACTCCTCAGCATGTGAGCGCACTTGAAGCAGCTCACGGATTGAATCAATGAATCCCTAAAATAAATCAGTACAATGAAGCTCAACTCTGTACTTTATTAGTTTAAATTATTTTTTTGACACAAATTGTCACTTTCATGGTTACCAGAACAATAAAGATGAAGAACTGCAGAAAAATTGGGTGAACAAAGTTAGTGTTGGCATGGAGAAAACATAAATAATATGATATTATTTATCTAATGAATGGATTGACACACTTTTGATAAAATACTTCAAGACCCTTTTCACATCTAATGGCTCCACATACACTATTAGAAGCTTATTTATTACATTTTTAAACTCTTCTGTTACTCAGAGGAGCTAAAATTTTCGAATTTTATTTTATAATAAAAAAGATTAATAAGATATAATTTTTTTCTTATTTTTCCATAAGTACACATGAGCAGGTCTACCTCTTGGCGCCCGCTTATCGTTGAATTTTGGGACATGTTGTATATAAATAAACTTACTAATAAGCATAAAGGCAACATAGAACGAATAATATCTTTCCAGTCTCAAACTTTTATCCCAAACAATGACAATAAATTATGTATATATTTTGGCAGAAGTTGATCAACTATTTTCAACACCTTTTTAACTTATAATTACAGTAATTGTATTTTATTAATTATTACCTGGTAGTGAAAATTGCATAATTTTTCTATTTCTTTGTCATGCTGTTTGATCCTCTCATCGAGCTGCTGCACAAATGCTTCATGACCTTCACCTTCGTATACCGATCGAAAAGCTGGCCCCCAGTAGTCATCAATACCCTCTATCTCCTGGAATAATAATAATGACGTATTAATCTATATAAATATTTATGTTTTTGTTATCAATTTTATAAATTATGTTCTGTAAGGTCAGTGCTTATAAAATATTACATTACATTAAAAAATGATCTCAACCCCATTTAAATTTTCATGCTTTGCATAAAAATGAGCCAAGTATATAAAAGTATAAAATTTGTTTTTTGCGTTGATGTTATCGATAGTGGGTGTATTACATACCTGAATAGTAGCGTTGGTCATTACGCGTGTTTATAGTAACATAAATAACTACTATATTAATCAATATTTAATTGTATACAACGAGATAAATTGATGACTCAAAATTATTAAAATTAATTAAGTTACAAGTTTATTATTTGTGTCAAAATCAGCCGCTATAGTTCTTAAAATATAGCTTGATCTGTGACAGCTGTCACTAGAGCTGTGACACTTAAGGCGCTTGTGCACTACACTGAATTTTCATGTCCGGCGGTCCGATTTTTTCAGGTCCGTGATGGCGGCAATGAAAAACGTGTTTACGCTTGTGCACTGCTGTGTCCGCGATCCGGAAAATTCATAAGGAATAGGCTTGAGAAAAATAATCGATTTGAATCGATATTTATTTCGGCAATATTGTTAATTTCCAAGAAACTTATAATCGATATTTATTGTTGATTATAAAATGCTATATTTTATATGATGATTTAATATAGTTGGTATATATCACTGCATATGCTTTGGCATACTCGGTATAGTTCTATTTTGATCAGCGTATGGTTCTAGTATCGATACTTAGCAAGATTTTAGAATCGTATTAAAAGTATCGATAGCTTAAGGTAAGGTAAATAAGTGTTGTTACGCTTAGACGCCTAAACAACTGAACCCATCTAAATGGAAATTAATATAGTAAATAGACTTAACTTTAAGAAAGGACATAGGCTACATTTTATCGCGAAAAATAGGGGATGAAAGTTTGCCTGGAAATTTGTCATTATCAAATTTTTTTAAGACAATTGATAAGTACAGATAAATATTTGACAACAAGAGTAATAATAAAGAATAAACAGAAGACTAACAAAAGTAATTAAGTGACACTCAATGTCTTTTTCGTATTTAATAAAATTTTAAATGTATGTTTGTGTAATAAATTAAAAAAAAAAGAAGTATTCTAAGGGAATAATATTTCTGCTCAAAGAAACTACACCACGCGTATAAAATTATGCCTATATATAATACAGTCAACTGATCTCGTAAAGTTCATTTAACATAATAATTCTCTGCTGCCCTACACTGCGCCGCTCCGATCAGGAAAAAAACGGACAAGTGCACAAGCTACTCATCCGAGTTTTTCATGTCATTCCGGACCGGAAAAAATCGGACCGCCGGACCTGAAAATTCAGTGTAGTGCACAAGCGCCCTTACTGCTGAAAAATCCGTTCCGTTATGGACTGCCAGTACACTGCTACAGTACCCTAGGGAAATTCATGACGTCATTAATTGCCGCCATATTTGTACTGTGAGCACTGGAGATTTCGAGGTAAGGTGCTCGCAGTGCTTTTGATCACGTGATCAGTCGAAACAGAATCAGAAAATGATAAGTTTCTAAATAAACAAAAAAAAAAATACTTACGTTTATTATAAGATGGATAAATATTTTTTTTTATACAAATTTCCAATTTTATAATATTTTCTTTTGAAAAGAGGGAATCTTTATATTTATATTCACCTTGCATTAACAAATTTGAAAATGGCGCCAAAAAATAGGATTAACAGTATACTGGACTGCGTTCCGTTTTAAAAAGTCACCAGTATAACATGTATAACTGTATAACTAGCAGTATAACTAACTACTTTCGATTGATCACGTGGTCAAAAGCACTGCGAGCACTGCACCTCGAAATCTCCAGTGCTCACAATACAAATATGGCGGCAATTCATGACGTCATAAATTTCCCTACGGTACTGTAGCAGTGTACTGGCAGTCCATAACGGAACGGATTTTTCAACAGTAAGACCACTGCGCAGTGCTTGCAGTGTATATCGGAACATACCCAGAATGACAGGTGCAAGACATGACACTGGCCATTGAGTACGTTTGTATAATACACTGGCTGGTGAGATTTGTTTGACTCTATGGCAAAAATTTTATATTTTGATCATAGATTTTGAGCAAGTTTGACAGTCATGCACACAGAGCAATACAAATGACCATAGTAACAACCAATCAAAGCAATCAATCACCTCACCAAAGAGAAATAGATTAATTACTGTCTCACATTATTTCAAGTAAATGCTCTGTAAAGCAATGTTATCGATAGCAAAATAAAATTTCCCTCATGGCAAATTCTCGAAAATGATATCATCATTGAGTCTCCATTTTTCGAGAATGTTCTATGTAAGGTGCTTTGGATTAATCAATGTTGGAAAATACCGAAAATGACATTAAACAAGCAATTTGCTCGTTCTATCTAATTTTAAGTATTTTCATCTATTAAAAGTATTTTTATTTGTCAACTCTATATTTGGTAATTAGTCATTTTCGAAATTTCTTTAATTTTAAACTTTAATTTTAATATTTGCACAACGTCTTGAAGATAAAATAATATGGTTTTCTTAAATTTTAAAACTATTCTCTAACCATATTTTAGCAAGTCAAGATTATTATTATTAGTAAATGTAGTCTAAGTTACTTCCTAAAGCACATAATAACTAGTAAGGTACAAACTAGGAACAAACAGTCACAATTATGCACACAAAGACAAGATAAGCAATATTAGTATACGTTGCATTACGATCGACGCACTTAAGAAGACCCACAATAAATGCAATATTTTGTAGGTTGGCAATGATAGCTGGGTAAATGTCATCGCAAAAATTAAACGTCAATAGTGGCAAAGGGCGAACGAAATCAAAGCAAAATTACCGACATCGCTGAAGCGGTGGAAGTGTGGTTCATTTATAAATTCTTCTAAACCCAACTGCTTCGGCAAGGCAGTTATTAAAACTGCCTATTAATCGGTTTAATCCATGTTGGGCTAATTATAAAAAATTTACATAAAATCCCTTACACATTTGGAATCATACATACGTCCAGCAACCATGGCACACTGTATGAGAGTTTTGCATGGCCAGGTAAGTTAACCTAGAGTTTTTTTACGTTTATCAGTAAATCCATACTTTTATACAACACGTCGATAAGTTGTAATTGTTTGTTTACACCATTATCACTGCTGTTAACATTTGCACTTTTGCGATAACATGAATGAAAGGGGTCACACGCATTGATCTTTACGTAAGGTCAGGGGTTTCTCATAGTATCTACAAGGATCTTATTTACTTATCAAATGCAAATATTACTAGATGAGCGGCAATTCGTGCGTATTGATCATATATTATTTTTTTTGGTTATAGGGTAGCAGGACCAAGATTGTTCTATTAGAGATTCAGCAAAGATGCTTCAGCGTGTCGCCACTGACCGCTGCTGCGGCCCAGGTACTCATCAGTCACTCAAAATCGCTTTTTATTTCAATTTTCTGTGAAGACATAACAGTGTTATGTAATCGCTTTAATGATAGATTGATACCAGTTCTGTAACTTCTAATGGACTATAATTGTTGTTTAATGGATTTTTAGGTTGCTATGTCAAAATTCGACAAGGCTCCATTGCCATATGAGAAGTTAACAAAAAATTTGGAGGTTGTCAAAAAAAGGTTAGGACGTGATATGACCTTGTCTGAGAAGGTGCTTTATTCACATCTGGATGACCCTAAAGGACAAGTAAGTGTATTCTGTAATGGCTTCATCAGTTTTTATTCTGTCACTATTAAATTATATATAAAGATCTTAAATTCCATGTACATGCTCTTTTATTTTTATTTAAATTAAAACTAAAAATCTTACATTTCTGGTAACTAACCCTTTACTATTATTATATTTGTAAATCGATAAAAAGTGACTTTTTGTAACAAATGAACATCAACTTTTTAAAAGATTAATCTCAAATTTATGTAAACAATGTATGCTTGTTTCTGTTGTCATAGTTTTTAGAACTTGCTACTTAAATTAAGCAAAATCTTTTTTAGTACTTAATTGTATTTATATCATATTACTAGAATGATTTCATAATTAAATTTTTATGACATATTCAGCTAAGACAATTTTCATATTTTTTTAAAATTTATGAATAAAAAACTTATTTAATTAATTTATTATAGTTTAATGTCATAATCAATGTAGGCAGGATTGCATAGAGATCAGGACTAGTCATCTTGTAGTTTGTTTAAACACATACTTATTTATTGTGTTGTTTTTCTGTGATAGGATATTGAACGTGGAACCAGCTACCTTCGCCTGCGCCCTGACAGGGTGGCTATGCAGGATGCCACTGCACAAATGGCTATGCTGCAGTTCATATCCTCAGGGTTACCACGTGTGGCTGTGCCCTCCACCATTCATTGTGATCACTTGATTGAGGCTCAGATTGGTGGAGAAAAAGATTTGGCGAGAGCAAAGGTTAGTTTATTTAAAAATACAATTATCAGCAAAAGTGGACAAATAAATTTGGAAATAGTACACAACTGGAAAGGCCTTAAAAATTTGAGTTTCTTCATTCCGTTTGTTGTTTGTTGAAGTTGATTTTAATTTTAACAGGATCTTAATAAAGAAGTGTACAAGTTCCTTGAGACCGCTGGTGCTAAGTATGGTGTGGGCTTCTGGAAGCCTGGTTCTGGTATCATTCATCAGATCATCCTTGAAAATTATGCATTCCCCGGTCTGCTTATGATTGGAACTGATTCGCACACACCTAATGGTGGTGGTCTTGGTGGCCTCTGTATTGGTAAGATATTTTTACTAGAAATTAGCATTAATTCCTAATTAATAAAAATGAAATTAGCATTAATACAATGCTTAATGATTATTATTGATAAATTATATTAAATGATATATATCTTGTGAATGCGTATATTGTGATAACATTGCTGTGTTCTTGACTTATCAGATGTCTAATGTTATTATCATTGTATTCGCAATGTGATATCAAATCTGATAATTTGATATTAGGATCACTCACTAGTAGCAAAATTATGCAAATAGTGATGCTACATCAGTTTCAGAGTTGATGTGAGGGGTTGTTTATTTGGAAAGGATGGGAGAGGTTTAAAAAAAAACACAAAACATCACAAAGGGAAAGGGGGGTGTAGTGAGGTTACATGTGTATTAACATTTTCTTGAATATGCCATTTTAACCAATACCTTTGAGGCCGTCCATAAATTACGTCACACATGGATGGCCCTTTGTACAAAAATTACATGCAACTCTTTTGCGGTTTTGATAAGGAAAATATAACTTTGATATTATTATATTTGAATATATCCTATATGAAAGTCACCTTGACATTTACATTCGGTTTTAATAAATGACATGATGTGTTAATAAACAACCCCAAAATCTCTTTATAAGCAAACACAGGTGATTTGGTCTCAGTTTTTACAAGTAATATTATTCACAAAAAGATTACAGATCTTTTAGGTAAACTCTTTATAATAACAAAAAGATTATAAAGAGTTTACCTGAATTTCTTTGAATTTTTAGTTAACAGACTATTGTTGACTTGTTTTAATAACAAATATCAAATGCATGCATAACAAATTTAAAACAGCATGTCAGATTATAAACCCAAATCTGTTAGGTCAGTATTGTATTGTGTAATTAATTAATCTTTGAATCATCGCAAATTTACATAAAATGCGACAAGCACCTCGCGGTAATTTGCAGCGGAGACTCATATATTTGTCACCATTACCTAGTATATCAATTTTTTATCCGTGCAACGAGTGGAACAACGCATACGAAACAATAGCAGTGTCCCGCTCGCCGCACGGATTATTGCTATAAGAGGTTATGGCTAGGCTCCTGTTTGTCTTTATATGCATATTACATGTTATTCTATTACAGTACTCCTGTATTACATGTTACTCTATTACAGTACTCCTGTATTACATGTTACTCTATTACAATACCTTTATATGACAGTACTCTATAGTCAGTCTATAGTTGAAATGTTATCTTTCTATCCCTAGGTGTTGGAGGTGCTGATGCTGTAGATGTAATGGCAGACATTCCATGGGAACTGAAGTGCCCTAAAGTTATTGGTGTCAAGCTGACTGGTATGTTCTTAATTCTATTACATTATCTATGAAATCGATTTATTTACTTTTTCTCAAAGTAATATTAAATAACATATTTTTTGAAGTATAGCTTCTAATCGAAAATATGTATGAATTTAAATGTGTCTATGCACCTTGTTGGGACTCGTATAACTAGTCGACTTTTTAACCCTTTTAAACATAGTCGCATAGCGTGATTATAGAAAGCGTTTCGACAAAACCCTTTCCCGTCTAAATAGCAAACTAGGCAACTGCCTAAGCTCTGGTTTTTGGAGGGCGGCATGGCATGGCAAACAGATTATGTTTGCTCTTATCATTTGAACCTTAAAAATACATTAACTAAAAAAAAAAACACTTGGGCTTTGAACACGAGTCTAAGTCCGCAATATTCAAAATACAAAATTTTCAAACAATATCTATAAAGTTTCTTATGTTATTTGCAAAATTACATGCTTTAATCAGTAGTATGCCTTTTATTTTGTTGTAATTTTTTACAACATCGTTCTAGGGTTTTGCCTAAGTCGCCAAGATCCAATGATTTGCTTAGGGTGGCAAGTTCCATTGTTACGTACGTCGCAAAGTTAAAGTGGTTTGCCTAGGGTGCCAAGTTCCAGTGTTTTGCCTAGGGCGCAAAGTTAAAGTGGTTTGCCTAGGGTGCCAAGGTCCAGTGTTATACCTAGGGCGCAAAATTTCATTGAGCCGGCGCTGCCTTTACGACATAGTTCAAGTTACATCAGCCGCGTAAATTGTAACTTACCCGCATATGATGTAGCTTCTCGTAAATGAAAGAATTCTTAGCGAAAAAGTTACATTTGCTTGAAAAAAATTTCAGTCCTGTTAAGTCCTGGGTAGCTCAGTGGTTAGAGCATCCGCCCGGATTGCGAAAGTTCGTGGGTTTGAATCCTATCTCAGAGCGCCCCATCTCAGAGTGCCAGGGCCAAAGTGGATTTTTTAAGAATTTTTCATTAAATAACAATTATTTTCTTTTGAAGTAGGTTTTTACTAAAATTTTTTTTAAAGATTACAAAAATCGTTTTTTTTTAAGATTACAGAAATCGTTTTACTCTAACCTCTCATATTTCAATGCTCAAACATACTTTATACTTTTATTTTATTACTTGTGACGTACCAATTGTTGTGTATATTAAATTTGGTAAATCTTATCATATGTTTACAAATATTATTTAATTGTATCACAAGTTATGTGTAAAGAACTTTATGTTTAACGTAATAAAGATATCTTCTAAGCGCCGAGGAGACGCAATTGGCACAATGATGGCGCCCCGCCAAGAAACGTGTGTGCCTTAGTTTTTTATATCTGTTAGAGCGTACAAACTATTTCGAGGTTATTCAGTTCAAAACAATGTGTTAGATGCAGATATGAATTTTAAAAGTACTATCTGACTTAACTAACGGAGATTACATACATATTATATCGCGCCAAATATACTTCGAAGTTTAAATTATTATGAAGTTACATAATTTCAAAGAAAGAAATTTAATTAACTTTTCGCCAGCGACTTCGCCCGCGTATGCCCTAGGAAATAGATTGTTTATTTGGATATCAATTCATATCATGACAAGGATATAATTACAATGACAAATTGAATGGTAAACAATGGTTACTGTGGTAACGTTTTAATTCTCTATACAAACTTCCACTCGCATTTTAATCTCTTTATTTGCTGTTTTTCGGGATAAAATATAGCATATGATTAAAATAGGTCCAATAGTTTCGAAGCCTGTTTGTTTCATACAAACAATCAAATCTTTCCTCTTTTTATTAGTAGTATAGATATTATAAAAAGATTATACTCGACCTTAGTAATTCTTATATTTTCCATGTTACCCTTGACAGCCGTCGTAGGGCTGCCTATTAGGTAATAAGTCAAAATTAATGTAATGTTAATGAATAAATGAATTATTAATTTATTGAGATATGAACACCTACAGTTAAAATTAATTTCATTAAAGACTAGCTTTCCGCCAGTGGCTTCGCCTGGGTGATTCTCCCGTTTTTGCAACATATTTCATTGCTGCTCTACTCCTATTAGTCAAAGCGAGATGTTATATGGCCTATAGCTTTCCTCGATAAGTGGATTATTCAACACAAAATTTTTTTTTCTATTCGAACCAAAAGTTCCTGATATTAGCGCGACAATTTTCTCTATCAGAAAAACCACATTTGATACTACTTTGAAGGTGATTCCCCATATAATATTAAAAGTAACTGTCATGTTTGTCTGTAACGCAGACCAGAACATAATTATAAAACATAATTATAAAAGTATATTTATAAAGGTATATTATCTTTATAATTTAACTTGTTAAAAGCATCCCCATTTCAAATTCGAAGCATAATTTTCTCTCCTTTTTAAAATTAATAACTTGCAAGCTTCAGATATAATAATAGATTATCTCCTTTTAAGACTAACAATAGTTTTTCATTTTTCTCTGTTTACATTCAACAATCGGTTCTGCGTTACAGACAGACATGATAGTTACTTTTAATATTATATGGGTTAAATGATACTAAATTAACATTCATTAAAATGTTCAATGCGCAATATATTCCGTATCATGTTCAAGTACACAATACAGACGACGCGCAATAGATTTATTTATTTCTAGACACTTGATTTTATCATGAAATCATATTTAGATATTACATAAATGAGAAAGTATTAAAAAAAAAACCCTTGACGCCCCCAAATCAAACTAGATGTCGCTACGGTACTTTCTTGATTTCTCCATGACAGCCCTTCAGGTTTTCGGTCATGTATAAAAGTAAATTAATTTTTAAAACTTAATAAACAACACATAGTTATTCTATTGGCATTTTTTCGTATTTGTATTGATATCTAAGTTTTGAACTTTGTAAATTTTAGTTTTTTTTATATGTTAGTTAAAAGGCACGGAAATGATTAACTTTAGTCATTGTACCATAATTTGACAGCCTTGTATTTGCTTTTTAGTAGGAATTCAGTTTGATAAATGTCATAACTAGTAACACTAAACACTTGGACAAACATTCGGTATTATAATGGTATTTTTACCCATACATCTACGCGGTTACGTCTGCAATAATCTATTAACATTACACAAGGTACAATGTTAAACACTAGCTCTTTTCCCATTATACTTTACTAGCTTTCGCCGGCGGCTTCTGCTCTGGTCCCTGAATGTTTAGTGAGATAAAATGTAACCTATATGTCAATCCACACTCAGGAATATCCGTATACCAAATTTCATCGAAATCTGTCCAGTAGTTTTTTCGTGAAGGACTAACAAACATACATACATCCATCCTTACAAACTTTGGCATTTATAATATTAGTAGAGCCCGCGTGTGATGTCGTTTCCCGTAGGTTAAAGCGTTTTAAAGATCGGATCAGTTTTTCCGAAAATTAATTACAAACAAACACGTCGAGTAAAACATTATTATTAATATAATAAAAAAGTCTTTATTTTCGTTTACTGTCTACACTCGAATTCTCTATCTATAACTATGAATTATTATATCTATGATGGATTGTTTTTTTCTCTAAACAAATAAAATCTGGCAACTTCTTATCACTACTACGTAAACGGTAGTTGATACTGGTATTTTACTACTGCATTATAGTTATATATTATAGCATTATCACAGATTATATCGTTGTATACCTGTATTGTATTAAAAAAGATGAAGAATGTTTTAAAATATTTGAATAAAAGATAAAATGTGTTTAAAACTGTGTAATGTTTTTAAAGGAGTAAACAAGTAATTGGAAATAAAAAATATAACTAATAAAAGAATACTTGTTTTGACGTCATGTAGGATAAAGAAGGTTCTGTCAACATTTATGGGTTAAGGTATACACTCGTCATATCAACCAAGAAACGCCCACTGCTGGGCATAGGCCTCCCCCAAAGATCTCTAACGTGATCGGTCCTGCGCTTCCCACTATAATAACAAAATTCCTATGGAAATTTTAAATTTACCCTCGCCTAAATTTAAAACCCATATTAAGAATTGTCTACTCAGTACTGAAGTTGGCTATAATTTACGCGGACGAACTCGTGGGAAAACCATTAGTAAACAACATATAATTTGTTTTTTCGTTTCCCAACCGATGAGACTGATATACTTAACTTTATTTTTCATCGTATCGTCTCAATTTAATTGTTATTTTAAAATGATTAATGAAATTTTAATTGTGAATGAAATTTCAAAATTGGAGTAATTAGAACCATGAAAAATCGTACTGTATAAGCATGGGTAAATTACATTGAAAACATACACAAACGAGGGTGGTCATGAGAAGGCAACATAATTTCTCCAAAATTTCGTATATTTTAGAAATTTTAGAAACGCTAATACTTAAGACTTCGCTCTCTGTCTATCTGTCTTGTCATCAGGCTGTATCTCGTGAACCGTGAAAGTTAGACAGTTGTGATTTTCACAGATTATGTATAGCATTTCCGACTCACACTTAGCCGGTTTTTTGATGATTTATGATGTAACAGAGGTACGACAGCCTCTGAGGTACAAAAAATCTTCACATATGATTTTGATTATGACGTTTCGACTGGACAAACAGTAAGGTGCTAATTTTCATACTATATCAGCAGATTATTATTTTATATTAAAAAAGAAGAAATGAAAATTCTGTTTCGTAATGTTTTTATTAAACAGATTGTTTTTATGAACAGACTACGAAGCTGTGAATCATCTATCATGTTTTCAAAACATTTGCTTATCAGTTTTTTTTTTGTCAAGGTCAACTAAAGGGCTGGACGAGCCCGAAGGACGTTATCCTGAAGGTAGCCGGCATCCTGACAGTGAAGGGTGGCACCGGCGCCATCGTTGAGTACCACGGGCCCGGAGTCGACTCCATCTCTTGCACCGGTATGGCCACCATCTGCAACATGGGTGCTGAGATCGGAGCCACCACCAGTGTAAGTTTGGCTTCCTCTTCTTTACCCATTGTCCTAAGACGCTGCTCATGTGTTGTTATCGCATTTTTTTAAATCTTAATCTTGTTAAACGTGTCGTTTTCAAAGCGATCGTGGTTATTATGAGGCAGCATCATCATACGTGGCTGAAACTCTTCACATAATATCTCGCCATCTTGATCTATTGGCCGGCTTTCTAGTTGTGGATTCGAATATCAAGTCTGGTACCTCGGATTGATATTTTTTTTTATATTACTAAATTTGTTAATCTATGGATTTGCTTTAGTTATCTGAAAATTTAATTTTATTGTGACCAAAATAAATCAATTTAATTTATTCTATAAATCTTTATTGTATTGTTCTTTAAAATATTTATCTTATTAAAATAAATATAATTTAGCGCCATCTATTGACTGTCATTAAGAATCACGAATTAAAGTGGAAACTTTGCTTTCTTTAAAATAGGTATTCCCTTACAACGCTCGTATGGAAGCTTACCTAAAGTCGACAGGTCGCCAAGACGTCGCCGCCACAGCAAACTCTTACAAACATCTGCTTACACCCGATTCTAAAGCACCTTACGATGAGGTAACCGAAACTAGAATTAGGAAATGAACATTAGATATTTTATACTTTCACTTATAAATAATAGAGGATTTCTATTAAAATAAATACGATTATCTATTGTCAAAATCTTGTAAATTTAAGTGTAATATCTTTAAAAATTATAACATACATCAGACGTCCCCACTGCAGGGGCTCAGGCCTTCCTTATGGTTAAGGAGGATGGGACGTGACCCTCCATACTGGTCCAATGCGGATTGGAGGGTATTAATGACTGCAAATTCAGCCGGGACCAAAAGCTTAACGTGCCTGCCTTCCTAATATTTTTTGGTCACCCATCCCGCGACCGACCGAAAACGTTGCTTAACAACAACGACGGGGGGCTTCGGTGCTTGACCATTATTCCACCGACCTACTTTTCCTTCATTGCTTTAGATTGTGGAGGTAATTTTGAAAATTATCCAAACCTATTACATTCTTATAAAACCCTATGGAAACATTCAATTGCACTAAATTAAATAAAAATCTAATCAACTCATGTACAATATATCGCAGTATAACAGCAATACATCAGGTTACAGGAACATATCAAGATTCTGCAAACAATTTTGAACTCTACCATACACACAATTAGGCTTTAAAATCACTTAAAAAAAGAATGTGAAATCAGTTTGCGTTCACATCTTTGAGCGTGTGCCAAACATAGATTTTATTATCTTTCATTATGGTTCAGATTTATAAAGCAAAACTTATTCGCAGCTCATCGAAATCGACCTGTCAACACTGGAGCCGCACGTGAATGGTCCTTTCACCCCCGACTTGGCGAATCCCATCTCGAAACTGGGCGAGATCGCCAAGAAGAACGATTGGCCGGTAGATATCCGAGTCGGCCTCATTGGTTCCTGCACCAATTCTTCATACGAAGACATGGGTCGTTGTGCCAGCATAGTTAAAGAGGTAAGTCCATAAGATATAAAATAGATAAATTAACTATTTAGTATATGAATTAGAATAAATAAATTCTCAAAAAATTCAAAGGACAAAAAGCAACCCCAATTGGGAAAAAATATGGACTCGTTTTAAATGAAAAATCAAGATATACTCAAAGATCTCCTACAAAGTGGGGAGAAAAAATATCAATGTCCTTATAAAAGGGTCACATTTATGAGACTGGAGTGTGATTTTATATATATAATATAGATTTTATAGATATTTATTATATCTAAAAAAAAATAGTCCATTACAAATGTTTACAACATTCTGGTCTTGAAATAATTTTTTCTTTTTATTATAATAATAAATTAAATCCAAATACCTTGTTTTCTATTAAACTAGTTTTCCAATAGCGGTTACGCCCGCGTGGTCTCTTCCTTTTAAATACTCTATATATTTGAGTAGCTCGGTAGCGTAGTGGACAAGTTTCGAGGCTCGCGATCGTTATTATTAAGCAACAGGGTCGGAAGGCACGTTAAGCCTTGGGTCCCGGCTGAATTTGCAGTCGTTAATACCATTCAATCCACATAAGGTCAACGTTGAGGATCATCGTCTATCCTCCTTAACCATCCATAAGGGAGGCCTGAGCCCCTGCAGTGGGGACGTGAAAGGGCTGAAAACTGAATTAAAAACAATTTTGTAGTAAAATATCTCACCACATAGGCAGATGGAATCAACTTTGTTTTTATACTATGTATAGATTTAGAATCCACGGAATTTAGCCAACTCTTTGTAAATAAAATGTCACAGTTCGCTGACTCCTCCTTAAATGAATTCTCGTATTTGCCCTGCGATTCTTTAAAAATCCAGACCCGAATTCGAATTCACTCATGCATACAAATTCACATCATTTAGTGTGGTAATTCTATTGATTTCATTCTTTGTATTAAAATATGAAACATAATTGATTGAATATACTTGTTTTATATATTCTATTCCTATGTCATTTCGAAACTCATGTATGCCACGAAACGTTATTACCAGAGGTCGGAATTAGGTAGAGTTATGTATGTACTTGCATCGAAATGTTGATATTAATGTGGACCTGGGATTTCTAATGGATTGTCCATTTTGGACATCTTTGGACATCCTATGTCATTGATGTAAGTTTGGCAAGGTCGTGCGTGCAGTAGTTTAAATTGTGTAAGTGTAAATATGGAATTTTTTCTGCTCTTTAAAATTAATCTCGGGATTTGAGGTATATCCACTTTATTCTTTCGCTGTATGAAATCAGTGTAAGTACATGAATAACTCTACCTAATTCCGACCACTGGTTATTACCAATTCAAAGTTGAGCGGACGCCGCTTTTTGTAGTGAATTCGAAATCGGATTTGGATTTTTACAAAATTGTATGGCATATGTCAACTTTATTCTTACAAAAAAAAGTATAACTTATGACGTCACAAGTCTGTATGCTCCTATCCTACTCATAACTTAATTATCATGTAATTTGTTGAAATAGTCTTATACATATATAAAATAATACACTTTGATAATGGTGAAGCTAATATAATTAATACTATTCATATTGGTGTTTAAAAACGATGTATTATAAAAATAACTCTTATCTGGAAAGGAATACAGTTGTCTATTTATCGATGATGGTCGAACAACAGTTTTCTAGTCCAATTGCAGGGTTATCTCAATGAACCTGCTTACAAACAACTACTTAACAAGCTTACAGAACAGCCTGGAAACTTGCACATGATATTTGTAAACAATCTAATATGATCTGATTGTCATTGCTCACTATTCAAAGTGCATAATTAAATCACGTATGATAATTATGGATTATTTAGTTATAATAGCGTGTAGACTACTTTTTTTTTAATATTTTTATTTCATAGATATATATCGCTCACTGAATAGAACAGTGGCACAACTCAAAAACCATTATTTCGAGAAAACGCCATAACATTGTGGTGGCATCCCATAGATAATTTAAAGAAAAAATAGAAAACTTAACAGTAATAATATAATACAAACGATTAAACTGTTATGCTAAAAAAATTGATTTTCATAATTATAAATATATAAAATTTTCATAACTTTGGAGAGCGTTTCTGGAAATATGGTTTTTGAGTTATGCCACTGTACTGTTCAGTGAGCGATATGAAGTATATCTAAAAAAAATACCATTTATATAATAGGTCAAAATCGAAAAATCATCTCAGAGTGCTAGGGACAAAGTGGATTTTTAAACCATTTTTTACTAACAATATTTTGCAGTATAGCGTTGTGAATGTAAAATTGATAAAATATAATAAATAAATATTATTTTCAACATTTCCCGCGAAAAGGCTAACTTCTGTCATGCATGGCGTCGCTATGACGTAACGCCCCTCTAAAACTAATATCGTTCTATGTAGTACGCGCTGTTTGCGGTCACGTGATAATGAGTATGTAATATTTGTTTTTCGTATTTAATTTAAGCAATATTATAAATATAAAAAGCATTAAAGTATGATTATCGATAAGAGTATATTAAACACTACCATAAAAAAATGTATTTATTTTCGTTTACTGTCTACGGTGTGATATGGGTATTACATATGATAATGATCTATTAGTTAGTTATAATTGTGGAATCTGTGACTGATAATCTACTGAAAGATATAGGCAGCCATTTGCACAAATATCCATTAAATTTAGCATTTCTTTAAAGCGACATTACCCATACAAATTTGATATTCATTAGAGCTTAAAGGCGTCATTAAACCTTAATGGACGTTTGTGCAACTGGCCGAATATCAGACTAGAAACACATGAACATACTAGAAAATCCGCTTAAAACTTATAACAAGCGACTTAAAAAAAAACATGTCCTATAGAAAGTTATATAATTAAGAAGGAGATAGTATAAGTGAAGAACGCACTACGCCCCATTAATAACATGCAACACATTTGCTTATATTGATTGTATGATTGTAAATTAAAACTCGATTAGAATAAATTATAACTGATTTGTTGATAACAGCTTTGATTTAGTAAGCAGTACTAACCCCGCGAGGGATATCACGTAAAGATATAGCTAGATTTCAGATATGAAAAACCAAATGACTTCTTAGTAACAACTATTATTTTTTCGATAAGACAGATATCAATACTATATATTAAAATATTATGAATGCAAAGTATATCTAATATGCAAAAAATTATATTTTAATAAATATTTTAAGAAATATTCTTAATACTCAAAAAATCCTGTTTGTCCCAAGCATTTTAGATAGGATTAGCCATGGTCTTTCACAATCGGGCCACTGCTCTAACCACTTAGTTGCCTTGCACCTAACAGAACTGATGATTTTTTCATGCACTTTTTACTTTTTCACTACTACAAAGCGTATTTTTATCAATGTTCAGGTAATCCACCTAAACAGCCGAAAGATTTCTTTAAATTTGTTCAAATTATAATCAAATATAATAGTCTGAAATACTAAAGAAGACGGCTTATAAATGCGATGATTTCTGCATTATCTCTTCTTATAACTCTTACGTAAATTATATAGCAAGCAAACAGTGTATGATGTAACTTCTCGTAGTTGTAAGAATTTTCATGGTCGGATCAGTATTTCTGAGTATTACCACCCCCTACAAACAAACGAATAGGTAGTGTTTGAAATTGCTTCTCTACTATTAATAAAGAGGAAAGACGTAATAGTTTTAAACAATATCTTTGTTTCGTTTTACAGGCGCTGCAGCACGGCGTAAAATCTAAAATTCCTTTCAACGTGACCCCTGGATCTGAACAAATACGAGCCACCATCGAACGCGACGGAATCGCACAGACCCTCAGGGAGTTTGGAGGAACTGTAAGTATTTTTGAAGCCATATTCGGCATATCTAAGACTACTAAGACTTTTTATGGCACGGTCGCCCCAAACAGTGAGAATTTCCGACAATCACTCGCCTCTACATGTCTCTTTCACTCATTCAAAAATATTGCTATTGCGTTCACACAGATGCATCTAGCCAGTATTGTCATAGTAAAGTGAATCTAATTCTTATACGATATTTATCAATAGGCACAAAGCTACGAATTTTTTCTGTTTGACGACCGGTCTATAGTAGTCTAGTCAGCTAAATTGTGCGATTGTAAAGAAAACTATGTGTAAAGTTTAGCCTTGTTTTAATTTTAGTGCGTTCTTACCCTTTAATAAGTAACTTATGACCAGTTGCACATACTATCATTAGTTTACAAAGCGACATTTTTTTATTTTGATATAAAAATTTGATACAACTTTTTTGAATTTGGAACATTAATTAGATCTTAAATTCGCCGTTAAACCTTAATGGATGTTTGTGCAACTGGACGTATACACATATATAACAGCACCATCAGGTTACTATCAAAGCTTGATTTTCGTCAGCCAATTTTGGAATTAACTACAAGGAGTTAAGACTTAAAATTGATTGAAGAAATTATCGGAACTTTCCTATAATTTTTTTTTATAAATAAAAATAGAAAAATTTGACCCACATAACAGCACAATCAGGTTACCTTCTATGAAAGTTTAATTATTGTCAACCAATTATGGACTCAACTACAAGGGATTAAGACTTAAAATCCATCAAAGATATTATCCTAACGTAATTTGAATTTACAACAGCCGTAGACAACATGACCGCCTTTTCTAGGTTTTGGCTAACGCTTGCGGGCCTTGCATCGGCCAATGGGACCGTAAGGACGTGAAGAAGGGCGAGAAGAATACCATTGTGACGTCATACAACCGTAACTTCACCGGGCGCAATGACGCCAATCCCGCGACACATTGTTTCGTCACTAGCCCTGAACTTGTTACCGCTCTGTCTCTAGCAGGTAATGTATTGTAATGTTATATTATTATAAGAAAAAGAAAAATATTGAACACACAATAGGGTATTCTAATTTGTTTGAAATAGTTGCGACTGTTTATTTTTATGTAAATAAGACACAAAAATATTACAGAAAGTAAACACTTTTTGCCTTAAGGCGAGATTGTACGTAATGATCACTTTTTAACCAGTGCTATTATCAGGCTATGTTGATATTTTCTAAATAAAAATCATTTTATGAAAATTAAAAATGCAAAAAATTAAAATAGAAGTTTTAATAATAGGTTCGATTGAATAGTCTAAATAGGTTTTTAAAATCGATTTTATGACTAGTATATTTCATCTTGATTATATAAAAAATATATTTTTCTAATATTTTTTTTATAATCGCGTTGTTTTCTGCGATTAAAAATGTATGAAACCAAACGAGGACGTCTTTACTCTCGATGTGTATTTGTTTGGGAACGTAAGCGGAGGAAAAGAGGGCCTTAAAATAAGATCAAATCTAACTTTTTTTATACCCGCAAAATGTAGCCCAATGCAATAATAATATAAAAATAAAGTTGTCTACACCCCTTTTCATTGTTTTACCGCAGGTTTAAAATACAAATATCAATTTGAAGTCTAATTGCTTTATTTTTTGAATGAGCACATTCTTCCTACGACTTTTTTTTTTGTTGAAGAAAAGAGAGCACATAAGAAGTTTTGTCTTTTAGTACTATACCGAGTTGTGTAGCCAAGAAAATAGAAATAATGAATAAGTTTGTCTAGTTTCCCAAAGGTTGACTGGGAGTGAATGCTATTAGCATTAAGTCTGCCTTTTGGACCATCTTTATATTGGTCAATAAAGTTCGATAAATGAATAAATCTTGTTTTCCCAGGTCGTTTGGACTTCAATCCTCTGACGGACGAGTTGACCGGTAAAGATGGTAAGAAGTTCAAGCTGTCCGATCCGTTTGCGGACGAATTGCCCAGCAAAGGATTCGATCCCGGCCAGGACACATACGAACACCCACCAGCTGACGGTTCCAGTGAGTCACGATATTTTTCATAAGTCATATTTCATGTCTTTATACGATTAGAAGGACATATCTTTATTTTTTTTATCATATATATTTGAAATAAAATGATCAAATTCAAAGAGTTGAAAAAGCAATAATAATTCATTTATTAAGCAACCACACATTAACGAATTGGGATGATGACTAATTTTTGTTTGTTTGTCCGTCAGGTAGAGTGTTAAAAATATTAAACACGTATTTTTTTATTTTTTTCGTAATCATAAAATAACGGCATTACATTGAGTTGAAATTTCGCATGACGTCACGTTAGAGTACGTTTTCTACTCAATTGTGACGTAGCGAGCCCCCACTCCTCAACTTTAATGTTATCTATACTATTTCTTGTTAAATTGAAGTAAAAAAAATACGTATCTAATATTTTTCTATTATCTGACTGACGGACTAAATAGAATTGCATTTTTTTTACCCAGTCCATCATCCCTATTGTAAGAATAAATAAACACAAAATGGCCTTAAAAAGGTATCCATTAAGTTGTGATGTTAATAATATACTTCGACGCTGATCTTCCATGGACACCACATCTATGATTTTGATATATGACAACAAACATTTTTTTTTTAAATTAATAATGGTACGGGACTATTGAGAATTGGCCGTTCTTTTTTAAATGTAACTGTGACATTATTAAATTACATATAATATATTGTTATCAGGCGTGAAAGTGGACGTGTCTCCGTCCTCCGATCGTCTCCAACTCCTGTCGCCGTTCGACAAGTGGAACGGCAAAGATCTGACTGACATGACCATCCTGATCAAAGTGAAGGGCAAGTGTACAACCGACCACATATCCGCCGCCGGCCCTTGGCTCAAGTACCGCGGACATCTGGACAATATCTCCAATAACATGTTCATCACGTGAGTATTATAATATTACAGACACAATAAATATCAACAATTCCGTAAATAAATATCGTTGAAACTTTTCTGAAGGTAACTTAATTTTTTTTTATAAACATCCCAATAATTCATTGTGGAATACAATAAATAAATATTAGATACATAAAACATGATTAAATAATACAATTCTAGGTCCAATAATAGGTAGCTAATAGGGACAATGACTATTTTTTGTTTGTTTGTCTGTCTGGTAGATTATTGAAGACTATAATAACACGTATTTATTTCGTAATAAGTAAATTACGGCGATAAATTGAGTTAACCGTGTGACGTAGTTAGCCATATGACGTACATTTTCTAGGATAGTAGTTTGTGACGTCACACATGTGCTTTTATGCCCGTTATCTAATTCATTTCGTGTTAAATTATAGAAAAAAAATATTTATCTATTAACTGGTGGATGAATTTCCTATTTTTTTTACTCAGTCATTATCCCTATTGTTTATCTAAAAAATACACTAATACCTACAGACAGACAGAAGCTTCTAAAGGTATTAACTTTAGAAAATCACGTCACAATGATAGCAACTATCAATCATTATGTTAGGTCCTGGGTAGCTCAGTGGTTGGAGCAGTCGCCCGGATTGCGAAAGATCATGGGTTCCAGTCCCATCTCAGAGTGCCAGGGACAAAATGGATTTTTAAGCATTATTCATTAAAAACAACTTATAAATTATGTTATTGCTTATTAAAATTATTATTCATCAAAAACATTCAGCAAACTAGAAGCTATGTGATAGATACATAGGTTATCTAGCGTTTGAAATTAAAAAATGTGTTGGTGTATCGGAAAATTAATATACCGTCTCTGTAGCTATGATTCTGGACATCGGATACGACATCTTATCAATGTTACGGCGATATTTCGATTCGTTTTGTACTTTAATAACGAACGATAAAGAATAACGAGTATCGATTTGATAGCAGTATCACCATATTAGTCATTTGTCCCAAATTTATCCATTAAAAGATATGTCAAAGTCGTAACATGAAACGAAATATCGCGATAACATCGCTAAGATGTCGTGTCCTAGAATCATAGCAAAGGGGACGGTCGCACCTCAGTTATATTAATTTTACGATATTGATACATTTTGAGTTTCACACGCTACCTTTGTGACCTTTGTTGTCACACACCAAAGTGTGTAATAATTTCATTACATAACAATTTCATTTTGTTAGTTGTCGCACCTTTGATTCCGATATAATTTAGAAAACACAATATCACGTCGCACAAGATTTAGGATATTAAACCCCCCCCCCCCCCTCCTGTCACCTATTTATCTATACAAATTCCACAAAATATTGTTCTAATGTCACAGTTCGTCACCCCCCCCCCCCCCCTAATTTATGGATGACCTATAAATATATAAATTCCGTTTCTGTTTTGTTAGCGCGACAAATGCCGAGAACAACGAGTTGAACAAAGTACGCAATCAACTGACCGGCGAGTGGGGCCCCGTGCCGGCGACCGCGCGCGCTTATAAAGCGGCCGGTACACCCTGGGTCGTTATAGGTGAGAATTACATATATGTATTAATACGTGAAGCAAAACCTTTGGACCCCTTTTTACGAAAATTGCGAGGACGGATGAGTATCAAATTTGGCACACTTATAATTTATATGTAGGCTAATATTTTTCAGTGATAATGCTTATAAAGTACATTAAAACATTGCATCGAAATGTTGATATTAACGTGGACCTTCCCGGGATTTCTTTATTTCTTTATTTCTTCTTTCTTTATTTCTTTCTTTCATTGATGTAAGTTTGGCAACGTCGTGCGTGCATTAGTTTAAATTGTGTAAAAGTAAATAACTTTTTATTTTAAAAAAACACGGGATTTTTTTCTGCTCTTTAAAATTAATCTCGGGATTTGAGGCATATCCATTTTATTCTTTCGCTGTATGAAATCAGTGTAAGTACATGAATAGCTCTACCTAATTCCGACCACTGTTAATAACTCGAATTTCCACCACTGGGCGACCACTAATGTAAATAATATTTTCTTCACCTTCTTTTAGGGCTTCCAATCTTGGAATACCGAGATCTCGGTATTGCGGGATCCCGCATCTGACTGTGTGACTGTGCACTGACGGACAAAATGATGAAAACTAAATAATTAGTCAAAATTACTTTTGTAAACGTTCTGTTCATAAGGTCTTTGGTTTTTAATTAAAGAATCATGTCCAATTTTGACTTAAAAATTTACTAGTGATGTAGCATATAAATGTAGCATATTTTTTACTTATTTCATATCAGGAAATTATATTTAAAATAAAATCAGGATAACAATTGCGAGGCTGATAATTATTTTTAAATAGTACTATGATAACTATCCAAATGCGATTAGGCAATAAAATGACTGTTGGCTACGTTTCGTTTCATCTACTACGAAAAAAAATCTTTCCTCATAACTTAAAAAAAGTACACATTAACAATTACACTTAGATTTATTTACGAGCCAAACTATAAAAAAATTGAATGCATTAATTTTTAAAGTAGCTCCACAGTTATCTTGAGTTTTGACAGCTGTTATAACCTCAAAATATTATTTACAAAATTACTAAACTCTGGCCTCTGGATGAAAAAATGCTGAGATATTCTATTTTAAGCAAAAACTAATTTAAAATAAACTAATGGTGGGTAGACGCTACCGTTAAATAAAACGTGTGACAGGTCAATCGATGTATGAAAAGTGAACATGATCCTTTAATAGAATGTCTGTTTTTGTTCTGTTGAATTACAAAATGTTAAAGCATTGATGAAAGTATGTCCCCTTACAACTATTTATACAATTAAAAATGCTTTAAAATTTATAACACAATAACAATGCGTTTATTTACGACACCAAGTGACGTCAAGATTACAAGTTATAAATGTATTTTTATGGTGCTTAGTGATTGATAAAAAAAAATGTATTTATTTTTTATTAATTAATTAATTAATTAATAATTTTAAAATGGGAATTTGAGGGTAGTAACGACAGCAAATGCAGCCAGGACCAACGGCCTAACGTGTCTTCCAAAGTATGGAGTAGCTTGAGATCGTAATATTTCGATCACCCATCCCGTGATCGATCGATCGCGGGACGCGACGCTTATCCACTACATAAGGCTTCTGATTAATCCTCCACTTCAAAAAAAAAGTTTTTCATGAAAAAGTTCAATACTAAATAAATAACATACCATTGTACAGGCGACGAGAACTACGGTGAGGGGTCATCGCGCGAGCACGCCGCTTTAGAGCCCCGGCATCTAGGCGGCAGGGCCATCATAGTCAAGTCCTTCGCCAGGTAAATAATCATCATCAACCTTTGATGAGATGGGATTCGATCCCACGACCTATCGTAATCCGGGCGACTGCTCTAACCACTGAGCTGCGCATCACCTAACAGAACTGACGAATTTTTCGATCACTTGCTATTTCGTAACGTCGTGGGTTCGAATCCCACCTCAGAGTACCAGGTACGAAGTGGATTTTTAAGCATTCTTCATTAAGAATTTTTTCCACCACAAATTTATTTATTTGGCACACAGACTTAGGATACTTACGGGCAATTAATAAAAAAAGAAATATGAAGACAAAGTATAAAAAGAAAGTAATTATCATATCGTATAATATATAGAGATGCGTGTCCCACAGTTGTACCGAAAAGGTGTCTTGCGTGGTAATTAAGCTTTATATAGTACAGCATATTTCAATTTCTTTCACTTCTTAAAAACTAAAAAGAGACCGACGCAGACTTTCGGCTAGATCCCACTTAAATCTATCACGCAACTATTTATAATCTACTAGCTTTCCGCCAGCGGCTTCGCCCGTTTAGTCTTGCATTTTAAAAGCATTGTAAAAGCAACCTGGACCAAGCACCGAGTTAGAAGTAATAAATTTTTAGTTAGAAAATTCAACCTTTATAATATTAGCATACATAGAACGATATTAGTTTGGGAAGGCCGTGACGTCATAGCGACGCCATAACAGAAGTAGCATTTTAGCGAGAAAATTTTGCGAAAAAAAAATTTTTTTTTTTAACTTGTATGAATGACTTTTTCAATTTTTTTTTTTATATATATTTTATGTATATGTATATCTATATAAATAAAAAATATTTAAAAAGTTGTCTACACCCTATTCCGTTTGGTTGCATCCAGGATCCACGAGACCAATCTGAAGAAGCAGGGTATGTTGCCTCTAACGTTCGCTAACCCCGCCGACTACGACAAGATCAGACCTGACGACAAGATCTCGCTACTCGGCCTCAAGGATCTCGCCCCCGGCAAGGTAAATCTATAACCCCATAATAATAATAAAAAACTTTATTTTACACGATAATTTAACAATTTTTAATAAATTCTAAGTTAAACAATTCAATCAAACCCAATACATGAGATACAAGTTATTATGTTAGGAGATTGAAGGAAAGTCCAGCATCCTCCGAACCTTTGGGCAGATTCTCTTATTTCAACGTCTTTTAAAACATATTCACGAACGTCTTATAATAAATCTATAATCGCTAAATATATACATGGAGCAACATAGTATTTCTTATTAATATCCACATATAAGTTTTCAAAAAAAAAATGGAAAATTTTCTTCACACTTCACTTCATTTTTGAAAGCTTTTCTTTCCCATACAAATAGTTCCTCGCTTTCAATGACAATAAAAGACCTAGCGGACTTGATGATGCTAATTGGTTCGTGAGGAACATTAATAATATTGGACTTCAAGTAGATAGTGTGGCCAAAAGCCTACAGGTCAATAAGTAATAAATATCTAGTTTACACTAGTCGAAGACATCTGTGTGCAGTGTGCGATCGATTTGTTCCTCGCTTTCATTGGCACTGATCGCATCAACCAGTGTAAATAAGGGAAAAGTGTATAAAATTCACTTACTCACTTAACTTTTACACTTACAGCCAGTTGACTGCGAAATCAAGCACAAAGATGGTAGCACAGAACGCATCAAGCTGAACCACTCCATGAATGAACAGCAAATTACCTGGTTCAAAGCTGGTTCCGCCCTGAATAGAATGAAGGAAATCGCTGCTGGAAAGTGAATGGAAACGCGAGAAATATATACAGTAACTTGCACTGGATACTAGTAAAATAATACATGAACTGAGCCATTGTAGAACATAAGAATAATGATAGTTATTTATAACTTAATTATATTGAAATTATTGTAATTGTAATGCTCTTAGAGTTTAAATTGCCTTAAACCAGTGCAAGATGTTACCATAAATTTGTCACTTCAAACTTTGTTCAATGAGCATTAGAAATTTTCTCAGAAATACAGACAATACCATTGTGGCAGTGAATCTTTATATTGTATTACTTTATGTAGTTCAAATATACTTTCGTAGGATTTTAAGAATTAACTTTTTCTTTTAATATAAATCAACATATTTAGTTGACAAATTTTTATTATCTATGTAAATAATATTACCAAATTGAAAATAAATGTAAAATAATTATAGTCAAATGTTTTATTATGAACTCCAGATTATTTTTATTTATTTGCAAATGCGTAATGCCTGCCGTATTAAGTCAGTAGACAGCGAACTTTCATACTAAAATCATAGCAAATACACTGATAAAATGCGGCAAGCGTTCCTCGTCTCGGTTTTTTCACATCATAGAAGTATTTCGTTTTATAAATAAATTCTTGATCTATCTAGCTCCTTGTATAAATAAGCTTCCTATTATCTGATACGAAATAGAGACAAATAGCAAAGTTAATTGCTATTTGTCCGTTGCATAATAGTGATAAATAACAAAGTTACATAGTTTTGGAGTTAATCGAGCCGGACTGACGTCAGACGTCTGCCCAGCACGGGTAGCATGACAAACTCGAGAAACGCTTTCTCTGGTCAAGAGCGAGATATCGTATGGGCGCACCCGAGAACTAAACCGTAGACTAAACGCTCACGAGTTCGTCATGCTACGCGTGCAGCAAAGCCACAGCTAAATCTGTGTACTTATAATGAATCTTTTAAGTTGAATTATAACGAATTGAAAAAAAAAAAGTTATCTTTTGGTCGATAAATGGCTGACCTAAATTCTTTTAGAGATAATTAAAAAATAATGTGAAGCTGCTGGGTCGACGTTAATCTGGTAGCCCCACGCGGTATCTTCCAAACTTTAGCTTATTCTTTAACATAAAAATTTATTTTGGTAAGATTTCATAAATTTTGAAACTAACATCCTGTGAGTATTCACTACTCTAGGGGACTATGAAGTGGGGTAAATTATGCCAATGATCTCAACAGCCACAAAGTATTTTACGGTTTTATGTGGTTTGGTTCAAACGGAGGATTGCTATGGTTTTACCACCTGGAAAATGGCATCTACAGATAGGAATTCATGATATGAATAGTGATGTATTGTACCACAAAATCCCAGTCAAGATAAAAATATTCATTTACGAAATATTAGGTACTCATAATGAAAAATATTTTTAACTTGCAAATTTGTTAACTTCTATATTATGTGATTAAAAGTGGAATCTAGATTCAGGCATTAAGATTGTTAAAGCTTTTATCTGCGTTAAACTATTTTGAACAAGTGTAGCGAATCGAAAGGACAGAAACGATTAACCAACCCAATGTCACACCGGCAAGATTGGCGCAAAGTAGCAATCTTACTAAATATTTTGAAATTTATTCTGATATTTATTTTATTGTAAACTCTGGTTTTATATAACATGTAGTCAGCATTAAAATATAGAAAATCAGTAGTCCATAGTATTAAGTCTAACTGAAAACGGAATCAATAGAGTATGTAGGTAAATAAAACAAGCAGAATGTAAGTGTAAAACTATTGTTATTTGAACAGCTTAATCTTCATTATCCTCATTGTCGCTGTCAGCATTGATGTTGAAGTAGCGAAGTTCATATGAGTCATGTGCGGACGCCACTACCCGGAGCCAGTCCCGAAGATTGTTCTTCTTAAGGTAGCGTTTTGTCAAATATTTGAGATACCTCTTTGAGAAGGGAATATCTGTGAAAGAAAAATAATTATTAGTGGAATAATGTATGATGTAGACAAGTAGTAGTAGTTATTATTAAGTTAAGGGGCTCCAACATTCCCCACTTAGATGTTTTAATCCATTCATTGTGTGTGAACAGTTGGATATCCTCCTCCAGTTAACCTAAATCTGCCCAGAAGCTTTATGAGGTCTTTACAGGCTTCACACTTGATAGATCATTAGTGATTCGCAATGAGCTTCACAATTTTTCAATCATAACAAAACCAGTTTCATAAAATAAACCAATGTAGGTGAACTATAAAGTTTCATGTTCATGATGAAAAAGTTTCATACACTGTTAAGTCTTAAAAGATGAAAATTTGGATATACAGTTAGACTGTTTATAATAAGTATTTAGAATTCAAAATAGTGTAAGATGTTCAATGATGTTAATGTAAAAAGTTAACTCGTCTATCTATATCGTCTCAAATTTGGATGTTGTGGTATCATTGTTGCGTCAGTTACTCAAGATTGCTTTAGCTAAATCTACTCATCGCGGAATCTGAAGAATGAATGTGATATCTAATAATATTTAGGGGACCCCAACCTCAAACTTGTTCCATTGTATTAAGTGAAGTGATTTTAACAAAGTCATAATTAGATATTTTGAATATGAAATATAATAAAACTAACCTGCATTGATAGCTACTTTCGTCTTGTCCCGAGCTATGACAACGTGATTGCCTAGGTTATTTGTTTTGCCCTCAACTTTGACGTGTTCCTTCAAGTATTTTTCGAAGTTTCCAACGTCCAAGATGCTGTCCTCAGCTGGATGTGTGCAGTCAATCGCGAATTTGAGGCTGATTTTCCTTTTTTGCCCCTTGCCGCGGATTTTACCACCTTTGATACCCTTTTTACCAGTCTTCTGGTGCAGTTGGCCTTTTTTAGGCGCTGGTTTCTTGGTAACCGCCATTTCGGCAATCTGAAAGATTTATATTTATTTGTAAACGTTAATTATAGACAAAAATGAAGTATTTCTATAATTATTTCTAATTCAACGTACAATACACGTGTAGCAGTATCCGAGAAAACTGCAAAATGGCCGACGTAAACGTCAGTTTCATAGACTAAAAGCTTTGGAACTTCGTTTAGTAGTACATGTTTATTTTTAAAAAAACACAATATTTGATGTAGAAGGACCTTACATATAAGCTGGAATGCTTACGAGACAAAAAATCTTAAGTGCATCTTATACCTTATTTGTTTGATATAATTAGATTTTCTAGAATTGAATTATTTACTTACTTTTTAATTTTTCAGTACAAGAAATTTCATATAAGTATCATTAATTCACGAAATAATGTATGTAGTATCAAAGACTATCAATTAAACATAGGTTTATTTATTAAAAACACGACTTATTCACAAACTAATGAGGAAATATTAAAAAAAAAATAAGTTCCTAAAATCAAACTAGATGTCGCTGCGGTACTTTCTTGATTTCTCCATGACAACCCTTCCGGTTTTTTTTTATGTATAAAAGTAAATTAATTTTCAAAACACAATAAACAACTCCTATTGTTTTTATATTTTTTCGTATTTGTATTGATATCCTAAGTTTCGAACTTTGCGAATTTCCAATACCGTAGCGACATCTAGTTTGATTTCGGGAACTAATGTATTTTTTAAATGCTTCTTCATTGGTTCTGAAATATTGTTAAATTTTGTCATGGTCAGCATAAGAAAATTATTACTTTATAAATATTTATCCAAACTAATGTGTAGGCCATTCCGATATTTTCCAAAACATAATTAAGCTAGTTCTCGTTTTTCATTTTCCAAATAACTTTGTACCTACCGTGAAAATATTGATAACGAAGAATGGCGGGTAGCGTAAGTAAAACTTATAAATGTTTATAATATAAACGTATGAATATTAATTTAAATCAAAGCCTCTTTGATATGGTTTTGTTTCTTGATCGTAGACACCCTATTTCATCACTGTTTAATAAATAAGGAAAACAGCTTACCTGTGGAATGTGAAGTCACATTCGTGATACCATTCATTTTTGCAATCAGCCAAGCAAAACAATATACCATTTTGATGTAAATAATCGAATTAGTAAGTCAAAACACAAATAAACATTAAACTTTAACATTGTTTATGTTGTCACATCGAGCGGCCATATTAATTTATAATATTGCTACTTAGATGTAACGAAAGATTGCAGGTCAGATTGTGGCATGGGGTTCGTATATTCGAAAGGCCTGTGTTTAAGTAATTGTCCAAGAACTAAAACAGGACTGTAGAAGGTTCATCGCCATCTTTCATTCATTTCATTTTACATGTAGAAATTAATTTATTTACTTGACTTTGGCAGAATTGTGCGAAATACTAAATTTCGCAAGTGAGAAATACAAAATACTAAATTGTAGAAATTAATCACTAATGGAGATTAGTTTTTAGTAAATTTTATCTAAAGTTTAAAAATTATCACAAAGTATATACGTTTTATTCAAAAATCTTTAGATTTTTTTAATACTTTTTCATTAGAAAATAACAGGTGCTACCTGGTATTGTAAAATATCTAGTATATGATCTGTTCTATTAAAACACAAATCAGTTAAAAATGTATGGTCTTTAGATGACGTACCTATGTTGGTTCTACAGTTTCGCATAACAAACATTTAAAATGATTATGGTACATAAACTCACACAACCAACGCTTTCGCCAGACTACAGCATAGTTTTAAGGTGACACTTTGTGAATTCAAGTAACCTATCTACCCCTTTTATTGTAATATCAATGGTTCCGCCCTATACACTCGTGTATCCACCAAGTTCACTGCCAATCGGAGCATATAACTCATTACCGAGACCTCTCGCAAGGCAAACCCCGTTTTTACTGGAGCGCTTTTCTTCGACGTGGCAAAGGCCTTTGACAAAGTCTGGCACAACGGCTTAATTTATAAGCTCTACCAACTCGGTCTGCCAAACAGACGGCTACTACCCTCGGCGATTGGCGCATCTAGGTTAACCCTGAAAAGAGCGCTGCTGTACTCTTCACATTTTACAATAAAGCCGTTGATTCCAACTCCCTTCCTCGCATCCAATTATTTAATCAACGCATCCCTTGGGTTGACAAAGTTAATTATCTGGGCGTCATTCTTGACAAAAATCTAACGTTTACACCTAAGCCAAAAATTGTCTGTAACTGAGCGGCATTCGTCATGGGTAGGCTTCGACAAAGTTTCCCATCACACCAATTATCTTATTTATAAAGCCTGCTCCTACCTTACTGCAGCACTTCGCCGTCAGAAGGTACGACGCTACCTAAGCATGTCCTTAAAGACCCCGACGATCCAATCACGCGGGCAAAGCCCCCTCCGACTCCATTCACAAAGGACCAATACAGTTCACTACCCGTAGGCCAAGACACGGCGTGTATAGAGCCGAGGTACGTGCCTATAGAGGCATCCTCTAGTGAATCCTATCTCTTATTCACGAGAGCTCTGGTGACTATGGCGATCTGGGGACATCCCTCGAGGTGATGCCGGTCGCCTAGTGACCCATCAGATGTCCTTCATTTTTCTCAGCTTGAGGTCTCTTAAGTGATTATGCACCTACTTATTTACATACGGTAGCGTTTGTACTATAAAATAATGAAAAGTTAGCATAAAAATATGATGCCACACAGTCCTAAAATGTAATTAAATACGAAGGAAAGTTCTTTGAAGTAGATTTAAGTAAAAATTAATAACATGGTTTTTAATATTTTCTTTTTAACAATTTCGTTTCGTGTTACAACCTGTCTGGGTCATAGTTAGTTTTGTTAATGGCAAAACAACGCATAACATTGCAAGCATATTAATTCAACGGTTTATAAGTGACGCAATTTTAAAAAGCGTTTAAATTAAAAAATCCGCTTTTATAAGTGCGCTTTTTATAAAAGTACAACTTTTAATCAAAGCAAGAGTACGTTCATCAGCCAGAAGAGCAATACTGTAACATGATTTTGAAAGCAGAATATTAAAAAAAATGTCTCCATTTCTTTTTTGTAATTTTTAAGACTTTTGATAGATATTGTCCAGGGTGGGGGTCGGTCAGTAGTTTCTTACATACTCTGGTGCTGACTGTTAATATTATACAAATACACAAACAAATATTTAAATGGAAACATTTGTAAGAATTACGAATAACTTTATTAAAATAATTGCCTGGCAATAGTTACATTATTATTGTTAAAAAATATCAATGTTACTTCCACGAATCTTACCAACTACTTGCATGTTCAAATACAAAAAAATAAGGTATACATAATTATTAATAAAAAAACATTGCTTTTCATAGACATTGTGTTTTTGTATTTTAAGTAAAATTATACCAACAATTAAATTAGTTTTCCCACTATTTAGGAAAGCTAAAAGAGCTACGCAAGCATATTGTTGAAAATAAATCTGAGTAGATAAAATACTGATAAAAAGATTCTTTTTTACATCAAATACAATTTCATATTCGGAATTCTTTTTTACTAAATTAATTTTTTAATAAATTCCATTACTATATCACATTTAAATAAAAAGAGTCCATATCTCGTTCATCCTTAAAACATAAATAATATAATAATTTGTTATCACTATCACTAAATTTATCACTATTACTTCTGCCCCATTTTAGCTACAAATATAATAGCTAAAATGTCATTTACTTCTAGGTTTTCTTCCAGGAGTAATACATTTCCAGTGGCTTATTAACCTGAAAAATATTACATATTGATTAACTATTAAAATTAGTTTATATATATAAGTAATATTTTTATTTATCATATTTAGAAAGATTCATTATTGGTCATCTTTGCTACCATTTTGAATTGGTGTAAGCAAAAATTTGTTGCAATAATTAGAGACCTGTCTCTAATCAATAAAAAAATCTTAGATGAGATTTGTTTTTACCTTAATTTAAACCATCCTGTAGAAAATAATAATATTTAAGGTAATTGGGCTTCTCTCAAATGAGGGATTTGCTTTGGTCCATGCATTGCGTGACAATCATTATGTACAATCATCAGTGAAAATTTCTGAGATCTATCATCATTATTGACACAGCACTAGTATTTATAACATTCAATTGATTAACAAAACACAATTTGAGTTAGTTACCTTCCAAAACTTATCATTGATTTGTCTCAGAGTTTGTGAGCCAGCCAATGGCACAAACTGACCAGGAGAGGGTGCCACATAAATGCAGAAGTTGAGCAGGCGATATGCTTCCGGCAATTCAGCATCCAGGTCTAGAGTTAGACGCATTGCCAAGTATTTACTCAAGTGATCCACTGAAACAAGATATATATTGCATTGTCATCAAAAATTATGAACTTTTATTATAAATAACCAAATGAAAATACCTGGCTAGTGGAAATAAATTGCTACTGAATGTAATAATAATTTGTTGTAAATCATCAATAAAACTACCAAATCCTCAGTTTGGTTTTATAAAGTTGTGCAATGATAAAATAACTGTTACTTTATAAACTATATATGTATAAAACTTAAAACAGCTCTGTTACTAACCTGATGCATTTGCAACAGTTTTCAAGTATCTGATAGAGCTGTCACCGAGAGCCCTCATGAGCTGATTGTCTCCTGTCATCTCGGTGGGGTGAGGCTTAAAAACCAGCTCTATTTCGTTGGGATTCAGTGGTTCACTTTCACTTTCTGTGTCCATTGAATTCTCACCTTCTGTCCTGAAATATTTGATATATAAAGCAAACTACATCTATATAGAACCTGGATGTTTTGTGATGCATAAAAAAGGGTATAAGAACTAAATATTAACTCATGATACAATAAGAGTAAATACAACAAGATATTTTTCATATATTCAGTATAAAAAAATATTGAATCAGTCAATATTCACAATGATTTGTGAATAGAACAACAAAATGAGATTATATTCATCTATATCTATATAGTATTTAACTCTGACTGTGAACATTTTACTGACCTTCCATCACTTGATTCACTTTCTTCACTTCTTTCAGATGTGAGAATAGACTTTGCCCTTTTAGTTGTGCTTGTGTTTTTTGACACAGAACTGACACTAGAAAGCACTGGAGAGGGAGTACTTCTGACTGAAGCAGGGTTAGAAGTGGATTGACCAGGAGGGGTGGGATTTCCAGTTGTTGAAGCACCATCTTTCGGAGCAGTTCCATTACCAGTGGAGCTGCTACCATTGTTACTTGGTGTAGTTTCGGGGTTTCCGTTAGAATTTGAAGGGTTGCTGTTGTCATCGTGATTCTTCCGAGATCTTTGTGGTCGGTTTTGAGATTGCATTTTAATTCCTTCCGTGATTGAATTCACTAATGATGCCTGAGAATGTGACATGCTGAGTTTTGCCAATACTCTTTCTTGATGAGCCTCGTATTCATCTCTGCTTGGGTATATTTTTGATATTAACAAATCAAAGTTGGGATCTGGTCGTAGCGACCGTTTAGACACTAATTTTTTCCTGCATGTAGGACATTCCTTGTTGCCAGAACGTAAAGCTGTAACTATACAATCTGAGCAGAATCTGTGAAGGCATTCTTTTGTCGTCATAGTCTTCTTTAGCATATCCAAACAGATAGGACACATCAATTCACTATGCAGGCTTCGTGGAGACACTGCAATTTCTGTTGCATCTGTGATCACCTCCTGCGGCGTACGGTGTAATTCGTACAACGATAGTTCCCATGTCTTATTCTGTGAAGGTTCTGACGACATTCTAAAAAATTATCGTATTAGATTTATTCACAATTTTATTTTATCATTTGACATTAACAACATTAAACGCCGCTGCCACCATTTACAAACAAGCAAAATGAAGTTAGTTGAGTTAGTGATGCGACACGAGTCCCGTTTTTTCACATATTGGTAATCGATATAAGCGAGTCAATTGATAGTATTTACACCACTCAAGTAACGAGTACAATATTTACGGTTTTCATGCATTCACAAAAGTGGCGACTTTTGTACGCTTGTACCCTACTAACAATGTGGTCATAACTAAAAGTTAAAACAAAGGCATGGAACCCTAAAAATTAACTAGGTACAGAACAATTTTAATTTCTTAATGAGGAGTATATAAAAAATAAAAATTAGTTCTTGAAATCATACTAGATGTCACTCGCGATGTTTGGATTTTGTTTATGATATTAATTCAAATTTTGTTTCTGACGTAATAAAAGTAAATTGAATATCGAAGATTAATAAATATGATATCGTTTTGTGTTTACCCACGCACAATAATCACATACCTACCGAACGAATTAACTTAACATATGGCTCGACGCCCGCCGTTGATATGTAATATCAGTAGCAATAGTTATAATAACTGTACGTGTCTTTGTAATTTTGAAATTTAAAATTATAACCTTGCTGTTCGTTTAGAACAGAGATTTCTTGTTGATTGCTGAATGTTTAGTAAGATGATTTAATTATTCTTTAAACATATGCTTACAGGAGTCTCGTCTTTAAGTCAAAGTCAAAGTCAAAATAATCTTTATTCAAATAGACTTCTTAAAAGTACCTTTGAATCGTCCAACATTTTTTTCCCTACCACTCGTTCAGGACGACTTTTGGCCGATAAGAAGAACGAGCAAGAAACTCACCAGCTCTAATAAGAGTAATGCCATTTACAAAAACCATGTCATTACCAGATCAATACATTATAAAAACAAAGAGAAAAAAAAACTATGGTCTTATAATGATAACATAATCATTTAATAATAATGGAAACAAGATAATGAGTTTAGAAGTAATCACCTATCCATTTGCTGGATCATCTCAAGTCCAAGCGTTCTTATCTGATATATAATCGGATACCTTATAATAAGCTTTTTTTAATTTACTTTTTATACCACATATTGCTCGTATGCATTTTTTTGAGCTATAAATACTCTTTTCATAACTACGCTATTACTCCATATTATTACAGCATAACGTAGCAAGGATGATACGTATCCATGATATGCTTGTAAGGCTATATTTTTAGAAGCGACTATTCTGACTCTGTAAAGTGCAAAAACGAATTTATCTATTTTTGTAGCTAAACTATCAATGTGATTTTTTCAGTGTAAATGTTTATCCAGAGTTATGCCTAAAAACCGCGCTGTACTTACTATGTAAATATTGGATTTTTTATGGTATTGTACAACAGAATCGTAGTACTTACTTTCCTAAACCCCTTGGTATTATGCTTAATAAACCCAAGCATTTTCGCCAAAGCACGTGTCAATCAATCATAAGACCATATGTCAATAACAAAAAATAAAATTAAAATAATATCAAATATATATTTAAAAAAAACTATAAAAACATAGACAACTTATAAAAATAGGTCGGTCCAGCTGACGATCCTCAATCGATCCTCCTGTGGCGAAGCCACATCAAATCAATCTGAGGGGATCGTCAGTCGTACGAGTTTGGTCAAAGGCCGTCGGAGAGTGCCGCTCGCGGTGAATATCCGCCACCCAAATTACGCCATCGCGTCCCGGGAAAACATTAGAAATTCGTCCACGAGGCCAAGTTCCTCGGTCTACAACTAGGACGATATCTCCAATGGCCACCGGGCGCTGAGCTGTGTTGGAAGGCAGGAGTAAAGGCAAGTTCTCACGAACCCAACGGCTCCAAAACATGTCGGCAAGGCGTTGCGACTTACGCCAGTCTTTCCTACTGAGAAGATACCCATCATCTACGGCGCCCGGAATAGGATGATATGAAGATGAACAACCTAACAAAAATGGAATGGAGTGAGTGCTTCATGGGAATTTGGATCAGCAAGAAATGCCACCGTTGGGACATCGCTAAGAGGGCGGCTGTTCACTAAGGCTTCGAATTCCAACAACGCAGTGTGGAGCAGCTCTTCTTTAGGGCTTCGATCCCGTAACATGGCACGCAAAGCCACCTTGAAGGAGCACACAAGCCTCTCCCAAACTTCCGACATATGAGGCGCAGCGGGTGGTTGAAACGACCAAGAAATGCCACCGTTGGAGCCAGCTTCTGCCATGGCCTTCAAAATGTTGTTTGCTCCGATGAAGGCAGTTCCGTTGTCGGAAAATATTTTGGTTGGTATACCTCGTCTGGCAATAAAACGCTTCATTAAAGCACTATCAGTGGATAAACTGTGGCAGGGTCGAGTAGCTCTTATGATAGAAGTGAAAGAGATGAGCCCTCAAATAAAAATAAGGAAAGCTGACAGGGACATGCAATATTTCTTGTGGTGCGATGGAGATCACAAGGCTCGTATCAAAGAGGTTCGGATGAGTTTAATGATTTTTGGCGCCGCTTCGAGTACGCAATCCATCTCGTGAATACGAATGCTAGAGAACATGCTGAACTTTATCCAAACGCGTCGGAGGAGGTCCAAAAGAACATTTATATGGACGATTACGTTGGGAGTGTATCCGACGTGAACACAGCAGCACACATTCTCAACTTTTTTCATCTCGCATGTTTCGAAACGCGAAGCTGAGTTTCCAATCAACCTGCTGCCCTAAATCTAGTTCCACCTGAATTACATGCTGTTTCACCGTCTGAAGTTCCCGTGCCATCTCCACCAACCAACGTTTGTACACTTGGTCTTTTTTGGATAGCCTCCGATGATGTAGGTATTCAGCTTCTGTCCTGAGCTTCCTGAGGAGCTTCCCACGTCGTTGATCAAGCGCACGGCTTTGTCATATGTAATGAGCTGTTCGACCCCTTAGGTATGTTATCTTTTGACTATACACGGAAAAATTCTTCTTCAAAAGATTTGGCTTTTTTAAGATTACTTGAGACGAAGCTTTGCCAGCGGATCATTACAAAGATTGGAAAAATTGAAATAAACATTTTTCGGCTATTCGAAATCTGAAAATTCCCCGTTGGCATTTACTTTTAAATTTCGATCCAGTGACTAATGAGTTCCATGTTTTCGTAGACGTTAGTGAATCTGCTTTTGTTTGCGTCGTCACTTATTGGCGCCCAAGGCAAATTCGAGTGTCATTAAAAGCCAGTAAAGCCAGAGTCACTTCAAACAAACCCGTCTCAATTCCACGACTCGAACTCCAAGTTGAAGTTCTCACGGTATGATTAGCAGTTACAATATCGTGTAAACACAGCTTGGAATCGAGTCGTAGATTTTTTCGGACGGATTCTATGGACGTTTTAGGTTGGATACGAACGGAAGGTCTTCAAACAACGTTTGAAGACGTTCGTAGCGAACCGTGTCGGAGAAATTTTGCGAGGAAACTAAGGTCGAAGAGTGGCATTGGGTACCAACCAGCCATAATGCTGCTGATAACGCCACACGAATATGTGAAGAGGTTCCCAGAAAATGGCTCTACGGTCCGTCGTTATTGTTTTTAACCCCGGATGCCTGACCCTCGGAAGTTTTGTCGACTTTAAGCGATGAACGCTTGTAGGATTTCAGAACTCCTGTAGTCAATCGACTACTGATGAACCGTCAGTTTCACGGTCGCTCCATGTACCAATTGTAACTGAACTAACGCAGTTTTCTTCTTGGTTGAGGATGGTGCGCGCGACCGTCTGCGCGCATCAATTTGTCGGAATTCTTCTCAATCACCTAAATTCAAAAACTGATTGTGCTCGTTTGGGTGTTAGTTCAGATCATCACAGTTCTACATCACATAGTCATCACTCATCTTCATCTGTTCTCTCCACCTCATTATTGAAGCCATTGGAAGTGAAAGATATTTCAAAGGCTGAACTGAGCATACTTAAAAAGAGTCAACGAGAATCATTTATAGTGGAATACCAAGCCCTTGTGAAAGGCATTCCGATAGACAAGCATGGCCGTCATTGGAGACTATCTCCGTATGTATCTTGACGATGAAGGCATCATTCATCTCTGGGGCCGTATAGAGAATGCAGATGTTCCAATCAAGTTTAAGCGACCAATCATGCTGGATCTTCGTTCAGTACGACTCATCAGAAAACTGCCCATGCTCATCAAAACATCGTCATAAATGAAATAAGACAACGTTTCTGGATACTGCGTTTGAGGAATGCGATCCGATCCATCATCCTGCGCTGTGCTCGGTGTGTGCTGCATAGGTCCAAACTACAATGCCCTCCTATCGGCGACTTACCCCCTGAGAGATTGACTCATCATCGTCGCCCATTAATGTACGTTGGGCTTGATTATTTGGGACCAGTAGAAATTACAATCGACAGGAGACACGAAAAACCAAAGGTAGACCAAAGGTAGTCATTTCCGTTCCTTTTATCTAACATATTAAAAAATAAAATGAGATTTTTTTTTTGTATGAGTTGAACTAATGAACATTAACCTAAAAGTTGAAAAAAAACCTCAAAGACGTTGAAAGATGAAACTTCATAATTAGTTCGCTATCAAGGCTTTCGATTAAATAACAAAAATGAAAAAAAGACAAGTATAGGTACGAGTATAATGAAATCTAAATAAATACTTATGCAATGTCTAATTTAAGTTTATCTTATCCAGGGCATAACGTAAACATTTTTTACTTAAATATTATATGAATTGACTACATAACAATAATAGAATTTATTATGAAATATTTTTAATTAATATTAACAAAAAACTTAAGTAATAAGTGCTTAAATAACAAAATTGGAAATTTTATAAAATATAAAACGCCTACATACGAGGTTTAATGGATTTTTTATTTATTATGATAGGTTTATCAGTATAATTGTCACAATAAATATGTATATATAACATTAGTCAATTTAATTAACTGGTGTCTTTACTCGGTATTAGCAAGACAGAATTGGAAGGAACTTGTTGTACAGGAACAAGCAATGCATTATTATTATTAATAGGCGGAATAGGGTTTGAAACTGTGGCAACCCCATTAATTGGTACCACAGTATACAAATTGTTTTGGTTTGGCAGATTACTTTCATTTGCTTTCATCAACGGTTGTTGATTGTTTGTAACCGACGTAAGTTGATTGGGTTGCTGCACCGAGACAGATGATTGTTGATGCTGTTGATTTGTTAAGTCATTAAATCGTTGGTTATAGTTAATCGGTTGTGGATTATTACTTTGCTGGATGAAACCGTTCTGCAGTTGGTTATAATTATTCGGTTGCTGAATATAGCCGTTTGGTTGCTGGTGATACCCTACTTGCTGGTAGTAGACACCAGGTTGGTTATTGTATCCGCTCTGTGGTTGGGCGTAACCGTTTGGTTGTTGGTTGTAACCATTTAACTGAGGAGTGAATACATTTGGTTGTTGCTGCTGGTTGAAACCATTCGGTTGTTGGTTAAATCCTACGTGCTGGTTATAAAGACCAGGTTGGTAGTTGTATCCGTTTTGTGGTTGGTTGTAGCCATTTTGTTGTTGGTTATAGTTGTTTGGTTGTTGGTTATAGTTGTTTGGTTGTTGGTTATAGTAGTTTGGTTGTTGGTTATAGTTGTTTGGTTGTTGGTTGTAGCTATTTGATTGTTGATTATTACTGTTCAGTTGTTCGTTGTAGCTGTTGGGTTGTTCGTTATAGCTATTTAGTTGTTGACTGTATCCATTTTGTGGCAAATTGATTTTATTTGGTTGTTGGTTGTAATCATTCGGTTGTTGATTGAAACCATTGGGTGGTAAATTGACCATATTTGGTTGCTGGTTGTAAGCGATTGGTTGTTGGTTGTAGCCATATGGTTGTTGGTCATAACCATTTAGTTGTTGATTGTTGAGAGTATTAATGTTTTGTTGTTGGTTATGGTAACTGTTTAGTTGTTGGTTGTAGCCGTTTGGTTGCTGGTTGTTTGGTTGTGAACCAATGAAGTCTACTTGTGGTGTCAGAAAACTATTAGGTTGAATATTCTCAGGCTGTGGGCCAAGCAAAATTGCAGATTGTGTGCCATAGAAAGGTTGTTGGCTTTGATCAGATCGGCTGGCTGAGTTTGGTGTAACAACGTTTAGAACCAGCTGTTGTTTATCAGTAGGAATGTTATTATTTTGTTGTAAAGTAATATCATCGTTTATGTCTGGAATTATCATTTCGGAATGTTTCTCGACGTCTGCTACGTCAGTTTTTATATTATAGTCGCCTTTAGATTTTTCTTGTAACGATTTTGAAGTGTCTCCCGGTCCGAACACTTCAGAAACGAATGGTTTGTTAGATGCCTTCTCTTCTGTTGGATCTTCATTTTTTACTGAAGCAAGTGTGGTTGAGATAAAGAGTACCAACACGACCATCTGTAGAGAAGAATTTAAGTTAAAAGATAAATTAATTACAAGCGTACTTTTATCTTTATCAATCTCTTCGAATTATTGTATGTATTGGGGCAAGCTAAAATATTTCTCTATGATGAATATTTTAAAGATCGTGTATAAATATACATGGAATTATTATATTTCGTTTTGTTCTATGCTGACTTATAATTTGTACCTATACTATGTACATACATTGATAATTGTTTTTATTATAACTGTAATACGTATTGGTTTGGTAATAACATGATTGATATAAATGTCGTTATATCTATTAAGAACTGGGAAGTCCCTATCGCCAAAAGTTCAGAGCGAGTGGTAGAGAAAAAATTTGGACGATTTAAAAATGCTTATGCTTTCTTCATTTTCGATGTCTGGTATACATTATGTGTCATCCATAGTGTGAAGCTTATTATTTCCTTTGTGTAGTTTACTATGGCATATTTTAGGTATAATTCTATACTAGTACAATGATGCTGATTAGCTACTGTTTTCTTTGTCTTTTTATTATCCAATACTGATACTTATATCTCTTGGACTACTGTTTTACACTTTGGTACGATTGTTCAAATCCTATCTCTGTTGCTATTAATTTTTCTTTACACCAACTGATAATTTTTCAATAACTTGTAATGTAGTGGTAGTATTGGTCCAATGAACGAGTTACCTATCTAATCTATCTATTATAGTAAAGCTGGACAGAGCAGACATCTTTCACTATCAAACAGATCGCATGTTGGAAGATGCTGTTAGATCCATAGAAACTGGCGAGCATGTATGATAAAATCTTGAATATGTAGGAGGCAAAAGCGAAAGGGATTAGCATAAATAATACATAGGCAGATAAGAATTTTCTTTGAGATCTGATGAACGTTCAAAAGGTACCATAGGGAGAGAAAAATATTAACACAGCCACTTATTTTCTTATACAATCTGTAAATAGGAACGAAAAAGCACATGGAGAGTGTGATTCAGTCAATTAAATAAGGCTATCGAATAATTGATGATTTCACAGGCAACAAAGAGTCACCCTAATTTAAATTAATTTAAAATAAAACTATTGAAACTCACCAATGTTTTTGTATCCATCACAACTGATTTACATTGAGTGCCGTTGATAGAATAATAAATTACATTTATATAGCATTATGAAATAATTTGATCGTTGGTAATGGATTATTTAATTCGTTTTTCCAACTTTTATGTACCGATGACTATTCTAGGTATAATTAGTTAATTAAAGTCTCCGTTTTGTGGTTTTCTAGTAAAACGGTACTATGAAATAAGTGTTACCTATTGATCTTTGAGTTGATGTACCCTGTGTTCTGTGGATGTATTTATTCATTCATATTTTGAATGGATGCAAACTGAAAGGATTCAGTTTTTGTTTGCCAACGCAAAGAAGGTGTGTTATTACTTTGACCTGTCTGTGGCATCGTAGCTACTGAATGAATGAACCGATTTGACTTTTTTAATCGAAAGTAATGGATAAATATATAATAAGACACATCAGAAATTTCGTTATTGTTAGTTTTTAAATATGGGGAATATTTCTTTCCTCCGTGTTTAACATTACGCCATATCTTATATAGAGCATATTTCAATCCACCTAAAAGATGTATAAAGATTGTTTAATGTGACTAGATGTGATTTCTAATGTATAGAAACAATTATTTAATTATTAGCAATACACAATTAGGTACATATATCATAAGGTTAATTTATACAAAGATATAACGATAAAATAAGCTTAAATTATTTAAGACAACACTACATCATATTTATATAAGGGTCTGTCACGGTTAATGTGAATTTATAAAATTAACTTAATAGAAAAAAAAACAAAAATTATCCTTAAAATTCACCATTTTTCGATTTCTACAGTTAAAGTTAATAAATACGTGTCAATCAGTTTTTTAGCGGAGCTAAAAAATATTAACAGCTCTCTTCTTATTTATCTCATTATCGGGCGCCATTAGATAGATAAAGATTACGGTCTCTGCGAAAACAGACTATCGGACAGTTGTTATTGTTTGGTACACCTAGCGAGACGCTTTGGTTTGTATGTTGAATAGTTCTAAAACGGTTCAAGGTTAGTTACACGACTTAACGTTTGCTTAGTTCATTGTGGGTTCATTATTCGATGTGAGTCGCGGTTTTCGTTGACGTTCATCAGGCGCGCGCGTCTGATAATTCGTTTCCTCTTATGGCGATATAAAGATGTAACGATCCTAATATAGTTCCGTCCTTGTCTTATTGAGATAACGCGAACATAGTAATAGCTCAGTAATCAACCGAAATATTTAATCGCAAGCGATGCGACTAACGATATTCGCGAATAAATGAGTTAATGCGATAGGATTTCGCGTAATTTGACTATGTTGTCATTATGCTGTAGTATTGTGAAATTTTGTATTTTTCGTAAACGCCAGAGGAGCTATTGATATTTGATCGATACCACGCATGATATCTGATAATTCGTGCTATAAATACCGGTATAAAAAATATATCCATTGTTATGTTAGAAAGCATAATAAACGTTGTCTGTGTAGAAGTCTTGTTTACCTAATACTATCACAAGTCTTTTTTTAATTGGTGTTTAGTTATCTCAATATTTATTACAGTTTTGTTTTCATTATAAGTGAGCTTGTATTAGTGTTGTGACTCTAGTTAGCTGACTATAAATACAGATAAAGTAAGTAGAAAATTATGTAATATGAATTTAAGTATGACATATTTTAGCGTTCTGAATACCTATCTGAATTGGAACGTTTGATTTCATTTATTGGGTTTCACTTGAGCTTGATTATGTGATAAAAGATGGTGTTTGTGTTTCATACATTACTCATAGCTCACGAAACAAGGTCTTGCATAAATTTGTAATACGATCTTTCGGTTTCATTAATATATTAAAAGATAACTGAAATTGGGAAAATGTGTGATTTTCATTTGTTACCCTTACTGTCAAAATAAGTGAATCGAATCTAATGAAGAAATCCGATACATTTTAAAGTTCTATTACAAAAAAAAAAGGTAAAAATGCAACGCAATCCACCAAAAAAGAAAAATTATGATGTTAATGGTACTAGTGCAGTTTCTGTGAGGGTAACACAAATTTGGTTTAGGCGTTTTCAGCCCGTATGATGTCAAAGATGCACGTTGCTCCGGTAGCCCTGTTACGGATAAAATGGATGCCATTTTTGAAAAAGTGGAGAAAGATCGGCATATCAGTAGTTACGACGTAGCTAAAGAACTGGGCATTGACCACAAACAGTTATGGCGCATTTGAAAAAAACTGGGTACACAAATAAATTGGATATTTGGGTACCTCGCGAGCTCACTGAAAGAAACCTAATGAACCGTGCACTCATTTGTGATTCTTTATTACGGCGTAATGAAACCGAACCATCATTGAAGAAGCTGATAACTGGTGATAACGAGCGGATCATGTACGACAAGACCATGCGAAAAAGGTTTTGGTCAAAGGTTGGACATGCTTCACAGACTGTGTCGAAACCCGGGTTAACTCTCAACAAGGTGATGCTGTGTGTATGGTGGGATAGGGAGGGCATTATTCATTATGACTTATTACCGCCAGGCAGGACTATCGATTCTGATGATTCTGCGAACGACTGATGAGATTAAAGCAAGAAGTTGTGAGAAAGCGGCCAGAATTAATCAATAGAAGGGGTGTGGTTTTTCATCATGATAACGCCAGACCTTATATACCTTTTGCCACTCAGCAAAGAGAGTTTGGCTGGGAGGTGTTAATGAATCCGTCATATAGTCCTGACCTTTCCTGAGATTCAGATTTTCACCGGATTCGGTCTTTTCAGAATTCTTTAGGCAGTATTAGGTTAACATCACGCGAGGATTGCCAAAACCACTTGTTGTGGTTTTTTGATCAGAACTCGCAAAATTTCTAGAGCAATGGGATCATGTCCCTAACTACAAGATGGCAAAAAGTTATCGACGAAAATAGTACCTACGTACATACTTTAGTTAAATGAAAATATTTTAAATAGTTGTTTTTGTAGTGAAAATTGTCTGTTCTAAGCCTGAATAAAGTATGAAGGAGAAAAGATTCGATTTTAAGTGTATTTTGAAATTTCTTGATATAAAAATAAATTTTTATTTTGTTTTATCGCGGTAGGAGAATCATTTTATTATATTTTTAAAACAAACATTCCATATCAAAGGTTAATTAAAGGCATTGGGTTATTTTAAAATATATTCGTAACACGATTAAGTAAATAAGTAAAGTGGTAGGGGAAAAAAGTTTTTTGGACGATTCAAAAGTGCTTGTGATAGCCTACTTGAATAAAAATATTTTCATTTCATTTCATTTCAATAAAGATAAGCCAAATGATCCATATGAAACATTAATTGAATTGCATCTTTGCATTGGTTCAGATGCAAATGATCCAATTTTTAGAACGATACATTACACTGCGTTACAAATGAAAAAAATATTAAGTACCCGCTATGAAATGTCATGTTTTCCTATTTATTCCTATCGTTTAGTAAGAATACATACATATTTTCTTTCTATGACGACTCATTTTTTTTCCGTGAGGATATGACAAATTACACTAAAAATTTAAAGATTCAAACATAATTTAAGATATCTAATAAAATGTACCAGATATTTTTCATTAATCGAGTTTATTTTTTATCACTTTGGTATAAAAAATACAAGAAAAATCAATGCATACAATTTAAACCCAGAATACCTTTAAATTTTTCTTTATCTTTTGTGTTTTGAAGGACCTTCTCATTTTAGACGCCAGCAGTAATCGCCTAGCATAGTTGTATCCCAATGGCCTAGCAATCGTTCTTCAAGCTTCTTTATATATTGGTGGAACTTCTCATCACAGTCAGCACCAAGATTAGATAGAAAAAAAGAAAAGTGAAAATGAAGAAAGTTAATTTTTAACGGCATTCTACAACCCAACTTTTCGTATGCTTTTAACATATAGTTAAGTAGCTGTTCCGCATTTTCGGCTCTATGGTTCCCTAAAAACTATTTTACAGTGATAACCAGGCGTCTGTCGTCATTATATTTTACAACATTTGGCATATCTTGCGCTTCTGAAATCCCAATTTCATTTTTGGTATGAGGTAATGGAGGAGGCATTTCTTTTTTGTGAGGTACTTGTTTCAAATATAAAGGAATTTCAGGATACTGAATGACATGCTTGATTTTCTTTTGAAAATTCACGTATGTCAGTCATCCAAAAGTAGCAATCATAAAAATGATTACTAGGTCCACGCCATAAAGCTGGTACGGCAAATGGCATTGACGTCTTGTTTCCATTTAACCAAGATATGAGAGTAGCATAGCATCTAACAGAAAAAACTGTGGTATCCATGATTTGTCTTGATTTACACGTTCAAAATAAAGTAAATATGCACTTCTTACTTTTATGAAAACTGAAAAAAAATGTACTGTCCACAAACATAACAAAACTTATTTATTTGGTTCATTTTTACAGTTGCGACGGCCACTTAGTTAAGTATACATGTTGGATTTTTAAATAAATATGTTTAGAGATATCGAGGTTATCGAATAGAAACGATATATGAATAAAACAAAACAATAAAAGAAGTATAATACATCGAAAACTTCAACTGTTTCTTTTACACCTAAAGATGGCGCTGTGGCATAAACAGTGGCTCCGTATTTAATTTGTTGCAAAATATAAAAACCAGTGTATTTTTGTCTAATATTTATACATTTAGTTCGGAATATGTCGTTTTACCTGTGATAGTGTTATCTACATCGAAGATCAAGTTTTTAGTGTGTTAATTAAAGATATCAACGGGTGAACTATATTTAAAAAATATCGACAAGGGAGTGAATATTAAAGTAATGCTCTTATCCAAAACATTTGTAAACTGTGCATAAAGTGATTGAGTGCGGAAGTGTCGACAACCAGGACCATTTGTCCTAGTTAGTGAAATATCTGTAAGGAGTCGGTTAATTTTATTTAAATGAAAGAGGTTGCTATGCCGTTTTGATTGGTGCACGCATGGACTTAAGAGTGACTTTGTAATAATTGTACGAAAAGCGCCATCTCTTGATTGTGTCTCGCACTATATCTACGGCATTGAGTAAAGAAAATACTAATAGCTATTTTCGAGTTCGCTATCTAAAGTGCTTTGGCGCAACGGATAAGTCAGTACTGTGCTACCGCAGTTCGTGAGTTCGAACCACAGATTTGGAAATCTTTTTGCGATATTATTTGTTTCTAATAATAGTAAGACATGGATGTCTGTGTAGGATGTAACCACAGCATCAATGACAATAATTCTATGACGTGCTCAGTATGCAATAATGTTTACGATTTATTGTGTGCTGGTTTGAGCGCCGAAAAATATCTTGGACTTACACCTGACGTCTTGCGGTCATGGGTATGTGTCTCATGCCGAAGTAAAATACCTAAGTCTGGCAATTTATCTACTCCTATTCGACTTCTAATGAGTACAAGCGTGGCTAATGATACGATTTTCGAAGCTGTTGATAATTCTGTTTCGGAGTTTGAATTCGAAAATGTAACAACGAGGCGTAGACGAAGCTCTGATGATAAAAGGGTTAACAGTTGCATTTGTGGTGACAATTATTATCTCCTTAGGAAATTAATAAGAGAGGAACTACAGGAGGTGTTGAAAGAACCGTTACAGTTAATTTCTAACCTACACAAAGATTTGCAAAAGCAAACGATTATTATGCAGAATATGACATCTATGCAATCCTCTATTCTTGATGGAGACATACAGAGTAAAATACAAATACCCATACCAATACCGCAGTCTCCACTAACAACATCAAAAAAAGTATTCGAAAATACATTAATTGAGGCCAAAACTAAAAGTAACAATCGAATAAAAAAGCATGACACTAAAAAGAAACCATCTTTACAGAATCGTATACCTTTTAGTCCGACCAACGGGTGTTTATCTAATGATCAAAGTGTGGATAAATTGGTATCAAATGTTCGTAATAAAGAGCCAGTGACTAATATTAATGCCATATCTGATCCTAGTGTCACCGAAATATCTCAAAACCAAAATTATAGCTTGGATAGACAAGAATGGACGGAAGTCAAACGGAGGCGAGTTCGAACGCCAATACCGGGATTACTGCGTGGTACTGCTAATCCTGAAACCACTATACTGCGGGCAGCAGAAAGAATGCGTTTTCTTCATCTCTATTATGTTCAAGTCGGGACTACAGAGGAACAGGTGCGTGCTCATTTAGCGACGCTATGTGAAGAGAATGTATGTTCCGTGGAAACACTAAAAGCTCGCGGCAATTACGCTTCTTTTAAGTTGGGAGTACCTATCAAGCTAGCTGACAAAATTATTTCCCCTACTAATTGGCCTAAAGACATTCTGTTAAAACCGTGGCGTCAGAACTTTCGTTCCAAACAAGAAAAAATATAAAAATTGTCAACAATCTAAAAAGTTAAATTGTTACTATCAGAACGTACGTGGGTTGCGCTCTAAAACCTCCATGTTTTATAACAATGTTTGTCAAAGTCAATATGATGTTATTGCTTTAACAGAAACGTTTTTAACAAGTTCCGTATGCGATGGTGAACTATTTCCCGCGGGTTACTTTGTAGTTCGTAAGGATCGTATAGGTGACAAAGGGTGGGGAGGTGTCCTGATAGCAATACGAGAATGCTATTCGGTTAATGTTATTAGTAATATCGATGACTTAACGGCGGACAAGGAGTTGTTATTTGCTGTTATAAAAAACAAATTTGTAAAGTTTTTATGTTGCTTAGTATATATACCACCTAGTTATAGTGACGAACAGTACCTAAATATTTTATCATGCATGGAGAATGTAATATGTAGTTATTCTGATTTACAAGTTCTTGTACTTGGTGATTTTAATTTGAATTCATTTAGCGCTAATATTAAAACAGAATTTGAACATTTTTGTGAATTCTGCAAATTAGTAGAGCATAACAATGTTCTAAACCATCAAGGTTCTATGTTGGATCGTGTGTTGAGCAATGTTGTTTCCACTGAGGTATCGGTGTCTCTCAATATTGAGCCTTTTGTACCTATTGATAAATATCACCCGACCCTTGATATATCAATAAATTTAAATAATCGTTTTGCTCCACCGCCACAGTCTGCACACATACACATTGAACGCCCTGAAACCCATCTCAACTGGAACTGGCGCAAAGCAAACTTTGTGGCACTGTACGATTCCATCACTGATTTGGATTGGACTGATGTACTGAACTGTAATCATGTTGACTTAGCCTTGGATGCATTTTATTCGAAGCTGTACCAATGTATTGACTTGTTTGTGCCATATAAAAATAGAATATGCCGTAATACAAAATATATTTATCCAAAGTGGTTCACAGAAGAAATTAAAATCAACATAAAATTTAAGCACTTTCACCTAAAAAAATTTAAAGCTGAGGGTAAATTATTTAACATAGAACTGTTTAAATATTATAGATGGCATACTAAAAAGTTAATCAACAGTGCCTATCGGCGGCATATACAAAGTATACAGGTTAATATAATTGACGAACCAGTAAAGTTTTGGGAATACGTAAAAGATAAGCGCAAACAGAGACGTATTATTGACTCTTTTACATTTGAGGAGGAAGTAGTAGTCGGGCAATCAGCTGCTGATGCGTTTTCACGGTATTTTGGTTCCGTATTTTCAAATGTGACACCACGTCTTAATCCAGAAGAGGCAGCTTATGTAGGTTATTCGGATGGTGATGCGAAAACCATTACCATTCCAACATTAGACATGGTGGATCTAAAGCGTGCTGTGAAACGTCTGAAGTCGAAATCGGCTGGTGGCCCTGACGGTATTCCTGTGTTTTTAGCTAAGGACTGTATATTGGTTTTAAGTGTTCCCTTGTTATTTATCTACAATCTCTCTTTACAAAAGTCGACATATCCAAAGCAATGGAAACTTTCCTGTGTCACGCCTATTCCTAAGGGAGAACCTGGACAGGACGTCACGACCTACCGACCAATTGCAGTCTTATGTGTCTTTGCTAAGGTGTTTGAATCAATATTAAACACCTACATTAGTCAACAAATCAGAAGCCTTTTAGATAATAGTCAGCACGGCTTCCGCAGTGCGCGTTCGACCACCACTAACTTAATAACACTTACCGATTACGTTTACGAACAGATGGACTCGGGAAGACAAGTGGATGCGGCGTACTTCGACCTTAAAAAAGCTTTCGACCTGGTAGATAACGACATATTGCTACAAAAAATGGCGAAGGCAGGTTTCATCCCAAAACTTCTAAGATTTTTCGCAAGTTATCTCAAGGACCGTTGTCAATTTGTCCGGTTGGGTATATTTGAGTCGGAAAAATTTTATACACGATCTGGAGTAAGTCAAGGAAGTACCTTGGGTCCGACTCTCTTTTTATTAATGATAAATGACCTGCCGAAGTCTGTTACAGTGGCGCAATGTCTCTTGTTTGCAGATGATCTAAAATTATTTGTCGGGGTAGATAAAGTGGAAAATACGAACGATTTGCAACGTGACATAAATTCTGTTGCAGAATGGAGTTATATCAATCGTATGCCATTCAACGAATCTAAATGTAAAATTATCACTTTTTCGCGAAAACGACATAATATTATAGTTGACTACAAATTACTTGACAAAACTTTAGATAGGGTTAATGAAATTAAGGATCTTGGCTTGACATTGGACACGAAATTGGACTTTCATAAACACGCAACATCTATCTGTAAAGCGGCAAACAAACTTTTAGGTTTTATTATTAGGACTTCAAATGAGTTTAACAATCTGTTAGTGGCCCGCGTGTTATATTATGCCTACGTACGTAGTAAGCTCGAATATGGGGCAATCATTTGGGATCCCCATGAAAATAAATATTCCCTTATGATCGAAAAGGTCCAGCGGAAGTTTGCACGTTGGCTGTACAAAAAGGCTTACGGCTACTACCCTTTTCTATATCCTTCGCTATTTGTATCGGGTATGGTGGGCATTGACACCCTTGCGCTACGGCGAAAATTACTCCTAGTTCTGCATTACCTTTCTGTACTTTATAACAAAGTTGACTGTCCTCACATATTAGAGAAATTCAGTTTTTTTGTGCCTGTACGCATCTCTAATAGCAATATGGGTTTAGTGGCGCCGCGACGGCGTCCGCGGCTGTTATCCACGCCCCGCACGCGTACCGTATACGCTGCGCAGGCACCTACTATACGTGCACTGCATCTCATTGGTGACATCCTTGCTCAACATGAAAAAAGTGATGTATTTTTTGATGGTATTACTCGATTAGCTATAAGTGCTCGACATTTCTTAACCAATATTGACTGTGTAATTGATTATTAATTGATTATCTGTGACTGTTATTATTATTTTTTTCTTGACAAATTATTTTAATTTATATGACATTTGTTTTAGTTTATTATTTTCATGACATGCGTACTATTCTATAATTTTGTTATTATTATGATATTGACATCTTTTAAATGTAATTGAAAATTAACTAAACTGACATTGTTTTTTTTTAATTTTCTTTTTATTGCTATGTTTAACTTGCTGGTGTGTTGGATGTATTAGTCTGTAAGTCAGGAAATAATGTTATAACATCGTTAAGATCCTTTGGCTAGAGTTATAGTTAGAGGAGTTAGTCAGTTACTCGGCTGATAAATTTGTATAGTTAGTATTTTGTATAGCTTTTGACCAAACAATTCCGTATTTACTTATGTGTTCCTGTATATATCTATTCTTTTTATGCATTTTGGTTAATGATTATAATTTGCACTTGTGATGGTAAATTACATAGTTTGTGTAAACGTTTTTTCGGCAACTAAGATGTTTCATTCATTTTACATAGTAGTGATGTGAATTCTCTAGGTACGATATTTGAATTATTAACTCAAGATGGCGTCAACTTATTGGCGTTATAATTATAAACTTTGCTGACATCCGTGGCCTCGCACGTTTTCAGGGTGTCGCCGTCTCTGAGGTCCCGGGTTCGATTCCCGGTCGGGATAATAATCAAAAGCCCTATATATATATATTAACTCTGGTCTGGGTGGCTTCTGTTCCAGATTTACGTAATATGATTGTTTTAATTACTTAATTTGGGAGTTGAGTAATGGATGACTGTGATGAATGACTAATATTGTTTAATAGTTGTTTATTTAATTTACTTTTAGATAATAATACGTAGATATTGTGTTTCCTTCTTTTTTACTATTGTACAATTAACATATAAAGGTAATATGGGTTTTATAGTTATGATAATGGTGGTATAAATAGTAATTCACTATACCTCCAATAACCCATGGTCGCACTCGTCTGAATAAATACCCACTTATATTAGGTAGGAATATTAATTTGTAATGTTGTTTCTAGATGATGGTACTTGTCATTTGGCTGACGGTGCTCGTGGTAGCATTCACTTTGTATTTAAAGGAGAAATACTCGAAATTCAAAAGAAAAGGCGTGAATGGACCAAAACCGATCCCTATTATAGGAACCGGATGGACTGTATATCTTGGCAAGGAACATATGGCTGATTATTTGATTCGAATGTATCAGTCATTTCCGAATGAAAGGTACTGATTAATAATTTCATAATCAAATCATTAACGACTTAACAATACTATTAACGTAAAGGTCCGCTGCTGTTGACAGGAAAATGTTTATCAACAAACGGACAGCTAAGTGTTATTCTATTTATATGAAACTAGTTGTTATCCCGTGATTTAATGAGCGTAAATTAGTGCCCTTATCATCCGCTTATGACGAGAGCGCCATATTATGGTCTTCTGTAAATTTGAGTTTGACAAAAAATTAGTATAATGTTATGCAGTGGCAGATTAAGGGGGGAGGTGGAGGGGGCGGTCCGCCTTGAGCCTCCGCTTCTGAGGGGCCTCCAAATGGCTGCAAAGTACCTTGATCATTATATTTTCTATCCATTCATTATATATTATAAATTCGGATTGATGGCCCCTTAGACAAATAAGTACAGCCTGTAATGGGCCCCGGGCCCCTAACGGGGTTATTCCGCCACTGATGTTGTGAATACAAAATTGACCAAATACAATTACTTGCTTTAATTCATATAGTGGTTTTATTTAAATGTAATTTTGTTTCAAACGTGCATTTATTTTTGTAGATTCTATGGCAATTTCGAATTATTGAAGCCGCTAGTGGTTGTGAGAGACATCGATTTAATTAAACAGATCACTACGAAAGATTTTGAATATTTCCTGGATCATAGATCAATGGTGGAGCCCGACATCGATCCGTTATTTGGAAGGAACCTTGTTACACTAAAAGGTAACATATTTAGAAATGGGCTCTTCAATTTTTAAGCCTATTTGATTAAACTTATTGTAAGCACATTTGTATAGTCCAACTGTATAATAACAAGCATGAGTGCTAATCAATTTTGATTAATGTCGCCAAACAATGGAAGTATTATCATTTATCATATAAATATTTATAAAAATATAAATAATAGTTGTATCCGACCTTTCGTCTTGTTACGAACACTTGAATTTTTCTTTATTAAATAGCCTTTTTACTTTTGGAGTTAATTAAAATTGTTATTTTAACTTACCATTGGCTTTACGTGTAATAAGTTTGTTAAAAGCTCAAATAACATACCAATATTTAGATATACTAATTGCTTCTAAAAGCTACTGTAAATGCTAATAGGAATACGATACTCATTAGTTTATTTGAATAAGTTCCATTATAGTGTGTCTAATGTTGCTAAGATACGAATTTAAGATAATTGTAATCTTATAAGCTCATATCCGAGACAGCATCTACACAGATTTATAGATTTAAGAAAAAAGAGCTTTAGGTTATTAGCCAGCGGCTCTACCACTTAACTGAAAGCTCTATTTTGACATATCACTCACAAACAGTGAGTGATATGTCAAAATAGAGCCCTCAATGATTAGTCACGCTGACAGATCAATCGTCAACACTGGGATAGGTCTGTCCAATTCTGGACAATGACACAGAAACTGTCAGCAGATCAATCAGGATTAATCTGTTTAAGGCAGATCAGCTGTCAGCAGACCAATCCTTTTATTTGACCTAGGGAAAATGCGTTACGTACTATTCCTGTTGCCTGACGGGACAGCAGGGAGTGTGTGGGATTACCCATAAGCGGAGGAGTCCTACGGACTCTGGGCGTACCCTCCATTGGGAGTCGCACCCGGGACTCGGGCGTAATCGCCGGGCCTGGTCAGTCCAATTCTAAATTAAGACAGATCAATATTCTTAATGAACAATGCTCTTCGCTAAGAATATTTTTAAGTATAGCATTGTGAATTCAAAATTGATTTAATATAATAATTAAGACAGATCAACTGTAAGCAAACCAAACAATATTGCTCTGCTCTGACTTAGACTGAGATCAACTGTCAGCAAGCCAAACAATATTTCTCTGTTCTGACCTAGACCAAGATTAACTGTCAGCTAACCAATCAGAGATGATCCTATCTAATCCTAGACTTCAATTGAGAACTTCGATTAACATATAGTAACTATAATTTATTCATTTTTTTCTACTGTAAATAACACAAAGTTAATTTCGCATTTATTATGTCGGTATATACTTTCAGGCCAGGAGTGGAAGGATATGAGGTCAATGCTTAGTCCAATGTTTACTAGCTCAAAAATAAGAGTGATGGTGCCTTTCATGATGGAAGTAGGAAATCAGATGATCGAGTCACTCAAGAAGAAAATCAAGGAATCCAATGGTCAGTATTTTCTGATTACGAGAAACCGGTCTATCTGTAAATATTTCTTTTAAAGCTCCTAAATCTAAGCACATTGGTGATTTTTATGGAAGTCACTTAATTGACACGTGTTCAAGTACGCGTGCACTTGAAAACACGATGAAAGGAGGCAGAAAATCACGGCTCGTGTAGTCGAATATAACTAACAGAAAAAACTAAAAAATTCTAAATGTACATAATATCACATATATTTATATGCATTTGGCAATTAAGTTTTCAAAAAGTTCAAGAACCTACTGCCCCCTTACTCTCGAACGTAATCGTGACCGATCGACATTGTAATTGTGCCGTTTCGTACTCTTGGTTGGTTTACTAGCGCCAGAGTATGCCATAAAAATGTATATTTCTAGTTTGTTTTCCCAATTGAGTATCAAAAATTGTTCTTAGGCATTTTTTAGGTAACACTTGATTACTCTGTTACAGAAAACTTCATAGACGTGGATAGTAAAGATTTGACGTCCCGATATACTAACGACGTCATTGCTTCTTGCGCCTTTGGACTGAAAGTCAACTCAATGGTCGATGAAGACAATGAATTCTTCAAGATGGGGAAAATCGTTACAAATTTTACTCCGTGGATGCTTCTTAAGGTGTTCTTTTACCTGAACATGCCAGTGATCATGAGGGTACATATTTTTTAATAATATAATCAATGATTGCATGTTCTGCATCATAATCATTAGCCGTAAGACACCCACTGCTGAGAATAGGCCATCCCTTAGATCCCTACGGCGATTGGTCCTGCGCTGTTATGCATCCAGCGGCTTTCCGCAACCTTTATAAGATAGAATAGGTTTCTTTTGACAGTACACATCACATCACATATACAGTTTACAAAACGTTTACAAATATGACAGAAAACAAAGAAATAAGAAAGAAAGTTCTGAAAAACAAAAATTTCTTTATCCAATGAAAATTTAACTAAAGGAGTGACTTTTTAGTTTTATGAGCACTCGCTCTATCATTTGTTTATGTTCACATAGCTGCTGTTTTCAGATTCTTAAAATCAAATTTTTACCAGAAGCTGCGTCCAATTTCTTCAGGGGCATTATCATGGGCACCATGGAGGATAGAGAGAAGAACAACATATTTAGACCAGACATGATCCACTTGATGATGCAAGCCAGAAAAGGTGTATTAAAATCAAGATGGTCTCCTAGATAGGCATAACTTATTCGGTGTGATAACATAAATTTATAACATTTGCAGGTAGATTAGAACACGAAGAAAAGTCTAATTCAGATCAGGACACAGGATTTGCAACTGTAGAAGAATCTGTTGTTGAAACAAAGACGATTAAGAAAGGTAATAATATCTTAATGAATATAAAATAAAGACAAAGTAAACATTAAATAGAGTTGAAAGCACATTTTTATCATATCTCGAACCAGATTTATTCAACCCTATAGATAATTTAATTTTCTAATCTCACAGCGGTTAGTCCGTTTGGTCTGCGATGCGGGAATTAAGCAACTGTTTGGATTGGTTATAGAATAGGTGACCAAAAATTAGTTATCTTGATCTCCTCCGTGCTTCGGAAGGTAAATCGATTCAACTCCATCCAGCCTCAGTGGTGATAAATCATGAGGATTATGGATTTGATAGCAGTGTGACCACCAAAACATATTTCTAAATAGTAAAATGAAATTAAATGTCACAATAACATTGTTAAGATAGTTGCCGTTTCCCTTGGATTTGAAGACGCCACTTATAGCTTATGAATATGTTTGTTATAACAGATTGGTCTGAGGATGATTTGGTGGCACAAGCGCTTCTGTTTTTCCTTGGGGGCTTCGACACTGTGTCTTTGGGGATGGTTTTTGCATTGCACGAGTTGGCATTGAACCCAGAGGTGCAAGATAAATTGGTGGCAGAGATTAGGGAGAATGAAATTAAAAACGAAGGAAAATTTGATTTCAATTCGATACAGAAAATGGCGTATATGGATATGGTTGTGTCGGGTAAGACATTAATAGTGATTTAACAACTAATTTTGCCATTTTATATTATATTGTATACATATTTATGTAATTCTCCAAGTTTTAAGCAATGAGTATGGGATTAGTTTTAAAACTAAATCCCGACTGCAGATAAATCAGGCTCTTAAAAATTTGAATCAAAAATTTATTTTATAGCGATAGCTATATTGTAATAGCGATGACAATGACAGCGTAGTCGTATGCCACTGATCATAACAAAACAAACTGTTGTGTTACATTTTTTTATTTAATCAATTGTCGGGTAAATTAAGCAAAATCGCAAGCAAAAACTATCAATATACTAATTAGGCCTTTTCATTTGATACCCTACCCGAAATGAATGATTAATATATTTTTTTAGTTTCTTAATCTATGTATGCTCTCGGAATAATTGAAATTATTAAATTATGCTCTCTAGAGGGTGCTGTTGTCAATTAAATGTAACATCACATAGCCTATAGTACGCGGACAACTAAGACGTTTCTAATGATACCTCATTTGTTTAGTTACGATGAGTAATTTCGAAGTTATGAAGGGAACAGATGAACATTCTTATATATACATACCGGCCAAATTTATAACCATTCTTTTCTTAAACGCTTCGCTGTAGCTGGGTAATAAAAATGTTGATAAAACATACGATATGAATACCATTCATATAAATAAAAACGACTCGCCGAAAAATGTATATGAATGTAGATAGCTTCAGAATGATTTCACTAAATTAGATGTTATTATTTTTTGTGTTTATTATTATCAAGTAGGTACCGCTTTTTTTAAAGTCAAGATAATTTTCAAATTAATTTATAATAAGACATGAAACAACTAGAATATTTGAATATGAATGAATAATACGAGGGTCAAACTGAAAGTTCTTAGAAAATCAAAAACTGATTACATTAGCCAGTTATTAGTTTTATTATATCTTTTCAAAATATTGTCCATTCACGTCAATACACCGCTGCATGCGATGGAACCACTGGGAAAAGCACTTTGCCCACTCGTCCTTAGGGGTCTCTTCAATGGCATCGCGATACGCAGCCACCGCTTCTTCAGCATTCATAAACCGCTTTCCTTTAAGTTTTTCTTTAATTTTTGGAAATAAATAAAAATCACAAGGCGCGAGGTCGGGGCTATACGGCGGGTGACCCAGTAATTCAACGTTTGATGTCGCCAAATAGTCGATCGTTCGCTTGGCGGTGTGCGACGAGGCGTTGTCGTGGTGAAGGAGGATCCTACTGCGAGGTCGTTTCTCTCGAACTTTTTCCAAGACAAGTGGCAAACAATTGGTAGTGTACCATTCTGCAGAAACTGTTTTTTGATCCTCTAACACAATTGTTGCAAAATGAACTATCCTTCCAAAGAACGAGGCCACCATTTTTTTTCCCGCACTTCGATCTCTCTTCACTTTAGTTGGCAACTCCTCGAAAGGAAACACCCACTGAGCAGATTGTCTTTTGGTTTTAGGATCATAACAGTAAATCCAGCTTTCGTCACCTGTTAGTATGTCGAACACAGCATTTGAGTCACCTCCGTTAAATCTTTCAATCATTTTACGACACCAATCCACACGATGGTGTTTTTGAGCCTCAGTCAAATTATGAGGTATCCACCGGGTGCAAAGCTTCCTGACCGCTAAATGTTCGTGGAGGATTTTGTGCACTTGACTCATACCGATGCCTAAGCTTGTCCGAATCTGTTGATAGGTCACTCTTTTGTCAGTCTCTATCATACGCCGCACAACACAGATGTTATCTTCAGTCGTCGCCGTAGAAGGCCGTCCCTCACGTAAATCATCAGTGAGATTAGTGCGACCACGTTTAAACTCATTAAACCAGTTGTAAACAGTCGCACGAGATGGGGCTTCATCGTGAAAGGCCAATCGTAGTCTATCATAACTTTCTTGTTGACTTAAATGACATCGAAAGTCATAAAAAATCATTGCACGAAAATTTTCTCGTGTTAAATTCATGATGACGTGACACAGACAATTTTCAATTTGCCGCCAAATCGTAAAACAAATGACAAATGAATGAAATATATACTCAGTAATATTGGCAAAGAGTTATATTTTCAAATTTTAGAATTATTTTTTTATTATATTGTTTATAAGTGACCAGTTCTAAGAACTTTCAGTTTGACCCTCGTAAATTTGTATTCCAGAATCCCTCAGATTATGGACACCAGCTGTAATATTAGATAGGATATGCACAAAGGATTATAATTTGGGGAAACCCAATGACTTGGCCACTCAAGATTACATAGTAAGTAGCTTTTTGTACTGTAAAGTTAAAAACAAGCAGTCGAAGGTTTATATATAACTAGCTTTCTGCCAGTGGCTTCGCTCGCGTGGTCCTTAGGAAACTATTCATTTGAACATTAATTCATATCACGACATGGATATAATTACAATGACAAACTGAATAGTTGAAACTGAAACTCCCATTTTCATCCCTTTATTTGTTGTTTTCCGGGATAAAATAGTCTTTTATAGTAAAGCTGGACAGAGCAAGAGACATCTTTCACTATCAAACAGATCGCATGTTGGAAGATGATGTTAGATCCATAGAAACTGGCGAGCATGTATGATAAAATCTTGAATATGTAGGAGGCAAAAGCGAAAGGGATTAGCATAAGTAATACATAGGCAGATAAGAATTTTCTTTGAGATCTGATGAACGTTCAAAAGGTAACATAGGGAGAGAAAAATATTAACACAGCCACTTATTTTCTTATACAATCTGTAAATAGAAACGAAAAAGCACATGGAGTGTGATTTAATCAATTGATGTAGAATGTTCACCGGATATGATGTAGCTTTTCGTAGATGAAATAATTTTCGAAATCGGTTTAGTTGTTTTGGAGGCCATTCGTTTCACACAAAGAAACAATAAAATATTTTCTCTTTGTAATATTATTAATTAAAGTATAGATATAAGATTGGGAGATAACGAAGTGACTTGCGCTTTAATTAGTCTTGAAATGTGTACGTTTGGCTACAATGTTTAACAGTGTTATTAATAAAGAAGGTTTAGCTTTGGAGTAAATTTACACTGAGACTGCACTTAGTATTACTCAAAATTCATATTATTAATCTAGTACGAGGTTCCTCATGAGTAATAGTTACTCCTAGAAGGTAGTAGGTTTGCTAATTCTCTGTATCGTATAATGAATATTATTAATATTACTTCCTTAGAACCTCGTACTACTCGTAGGTTAACCTTTTACTAAGTCTCTGTTTAATAATATGGATTTTGACTAATTCTAAGTGCAGTCTCAGCGTAAATTTACTCCAACGCTAACCCTTGTTTATTAATTACACTGCGCATAAAACAGTAAATATTATAGAAAAATAGCTCAATGCAGTCTCGTTGAAACTATATCGTACGAGGGTGAAACAGGCTATAATTTACGCGGGCGAAGACGCGTTAAACAGCTAGTTATTCATATAATTCTAAGAAAGCCTCGTACTCAGACCTCATTATGAAATCAGGAGCTGATATTGTACCAAGAGCTTTACTAGTGTTAGCTTACTTAGACCTGGAACTCGGAAACGAAGAAGATATTTATGCTACGAAGGATACTAATAATAAGCCTACAAACGCCTGTTACTGTTTCAGCAGCTTTAAAGGTTTTTAAAATAAGTGATTTTATAGTGATATATTTATTTATGATGATTTTATAGATACGTAAAGGAGAAGGCGTCACGTTGGCCGCTTGGGCTATACACAGAGATCCCAAATACTTTCCGAATCCAACAAAGTTCGATCCAGAAAGATTCTCAGAAGAAAACAAGCATAAGATCGTACCTTTCTCGTATATGCCGTTTGGGTTAGGTCCTAGGAATTGTATAGGTAAAAGCATTGTGTTTATAATGATATTTTTTTAAGCATGTTTCATTAAGAATATTATTAATATTTATTACGCAGTTTTTCCTACATATTGTATATTATTATATAGTCAAGTTAAGGATTTAAGCAACCGATGAATTGTACTTTTCTTTGGCTTCTTATTAAATTTTGAATTAATATGTTTTTGATGATGAATGAAATTTTTTTCAACAGCTTCTAGGTTCGCGCTGTGCGAGTTGAAAGTGATGTTATACCAATTGTTGCTACATTTTGAAATATCGCCTTGTGAGAAAACGTGTGTCCCCTCTCAGTTAGACCCCACCCGTTTCACTTTGTGCCTCAAAGGTGGAAGCTGGATTCGTATCAAGATAAGAGAATAAACACGGAGGATATTCATCAGTTACCTATGTTTTTCACATTTATCTTTTTTTTTTGTATAATATAACGTAGGTTGAAATGATATAAGATATATTTTGTATTTTTGCATATTATTTTGTAAGGATAAGGCTTTAAAGTGATTTTTAAAAAGCTTTTTGTTTTACTAATAATATATTTATTAAACCTTGGTATTCTAAGCGTATCCGAAAAATGATAACGTGAACTAAGTGGCAAAATAGCTGTAATTCTTATATTTGCTAAAACTGAATTATAATTATCGAATTATGAGTTTTTAGCGCCAATAAAAATATTCCAGACATGCAAAGTCATGGATGTAGCAAATAAAATGAATTTATTGTTTCATTTTTAATCACTCGTCGTCGAAAACTCGTCGAGACAGATGAATTTCAATATTTTATGTAAGTCATCATCATAATTATCACCAGCCTATTAAAATACTACTACTGGGGCTCAGGCTTTCCCTATGGATGAAAGCGAATCTTATCGAATAGGGAGAATGGGCCAGCGACACTTCATAAATTTTTGCTTAGCCAACCTTTGAACGGATTTTGCGAAAGTTGCTTAACCGTATCGCAAAGAACCGAGAAAGCAGAACCGAGCTCACTAACCACTACGCCATGGAGCTCCTATATTATTTATTAATAGGTATTATTTATTAACAGAGTACGGTGGCCTGCCCTGTGTTACCTAGTGGTTAAAAACTCAAACATTAACATGTAAGGGGGCAAGCGAGTGGGTAGTGGATAAGCGCCGCGGCTCGCGATCGTTGTTGTTAAGCAGCTTTTGCAAGGGTCGGTCACGGAATGGGTGACCAAAAATTATTATCTAAAGCTACTCCGTGCTTCGGAAGGCACGTTAAGCCGTTAGTCCCGATTGCATTTGCAGTCGTTAATACCCTCCAATTCGCATTAGGCCAGCGTGGATGGTCATAGCCCGTCCTCCTTAACCATCCATAAGGAAGGCCTGAGCCCATGCAGTGGGGACGAAAAAGGGCTGATGATGATGATGATGATTTAAACTTATTATAACTTTGTGCTCGCATAGTCAACATTACAGGTTTTATGACCTTTATAGTCTCTTGCATTAATATGATAAGACAGGTACATAATCAGAGTGATATACTCTATCAATAAAGCAAAGTACATGGTAGCAATTCCGTTTTAAGCAATCATTCTAATGTTAATGTCCGGTGTTCAGTAACAGAGCAGGATAGTAATCGCCTTAGTGTATAGCTATGACTCTAGTTATATTTAGCTGTAAAATATATTTAATCAAACATTTTTGTTTATTTTAGTTTAAAGTTGTTTCATTTAATGTAGGTATACCTCTTTCCTTGCGCGGGTCCATGATTTTATTGTGGGGCTTCCTTCTGCGGAGCCGCTCTTAGGAGGGGCTAGTGTAAATGTATACCCACTTAAACCCACCAATATCCCTCTGTACAGCGAGCGATGAGCGGTAAAAGCCGACGCCTCATATTTTACTTCGTCATCGTTTCTACCCACCCCTTGCAGTTTCTACTGGGGGAAACACTTCCTACTCTCCAAACAGGATAAGGGACGTGCAATGCCTAGTAAGCGCACGAACATACAATGCTGCCCTGTCAAAAACAGGAGATACGTTTTTGTGCAATTTTCCGTCCTAACCAGTCTCCATCCGGGTTTTACTCCTCCGACGGTTGTAGTGCCCTTCGGTATCCTCAAAGAGCAGGCAGCGTGAGCAAGGCCAGTCATCGATGTGCGAAAATAAAGGAGACGGAGGAATACGAGTAAGGAAGGCATGGTTTTTATGGAGAAGAACTGTAGACTACTAATATTTAGTAAAAATATCCGTTCAATTTAACAGCTATCTGATTGGATTGCACGGTTAAACGTTGATCAGTTGTGTAGATGAACGTATGTTCTGCAGTAAGGCTGAAGTAATATTGAAATAGTGGTTTTAGAAGAAAATGGGATCCCGACTTTTTGCTTAATAGAATTACCACAATTGAATGATAAAAATGTTTTACTTGTAAAATTTGTTTATTTTTATAAAGTAAAAATTAAAGCCTTTATTATTCGAGTACGATAGTAAAGTAATTTATAAAATCGACCCAGTATCCAGTTTCAGAGACATATCAACGCAAACAAACATGCAATCAAATCTTTCCTTTTTATGATATTGGTACGGATAATAAATACTTTCATGTTTATAAAGAGCGGTCAATCGTGAACTATTATAACATTCACTCTTTCAGCCCCCATTCCGACACGATACGATACTTAGAATAGTTACCTACTAAGTTAGTAACTTTAGCAACTTACTCAAATTGTCTGAAGCGCCTTCGGTCTATAGTTAGGTATGCATTAACTTTGAGTTAAACCACGCAGTTAAAGACAACTAGTTAAACTTGACCGCAAGACTTGAACTGAGTTGCTTCGAAAATTGATGACAGAATTTGTGTTGAATTTAATATTGCACAAGTTTCTGAAAGATTGCGTTTAGAAATCGATTTGTAATAATGTCTTACAGACTTAGCCTTAAATACTCGCGGTAATAACTCATATCGATTAGATCATAAATTTATAAGCAATTAATTTAATGTATTAACTAGTAAAAACATCGAATGTAATATAAAATAAAGAGTCCATAAAAAACTTGTACAAAAATGCACAAGTCTTACAACGCAAATCTTCTGCCGTAAAAAGTTATCAAATCAACGTAAACCAAGTCGATTAATTCAGTGCCTATCTTTCTGTGAGAGCAGCTATTCAACCTTGTCATAGATTAAGGGATACTTAAAAAACGCATTACTAGCTATAAGTACTTTTAAACCAATAAAGCATAGAGCTAATAACTTCAGATAGATTTTTATGTTACATTCTTTTACCATACCTATGCAGTTGGCAACTATAATTATTATATAATGCATTCACAATGCTTCTTTTGGCTCTTTGGGTGGATTGCCTGGACATTGATGAAAATAGTAGCTCTGTAGTAACGAAAAGGTAACAAGTGCTTGAAAAATTCGCCAGTCCATATAGGTCCTCGGTAGCCCACGCGGTGTATGGCCTCCGGGCCGATCCCGTGCATCGCCTTCCATGCGACATCGACATCGCTGAGTTTTAGTGGGTAAATTCCTGTTTCTTGTCTAGCCCCTTCGGGGGTGGGGCCACAGAAGGAGTCCCACATAACCCGTGAAGCCCGCGCTGGGTGTAGCAGGTATGCGTAACGCATTTCTCAGCGTTAAAAAAAAAGAAAAAAAAAGGACCTCGGTAGCTCATTTGTTGGAGCAGTCGCCTGGATTGCGAAAGGTCGTGGCTTCAAGTCTCATCTCAGAGTGCCAGGGACTCATTTTGACACTTGATCTTGTATCGAAAAACTGTTATTCCGTATTTCGTAAGCCTTAGTGACTGTGAAAGTAATTTTTAATGAGAAATCACTAATTAAAGATTTTTTTAAATTTAAATTAATAAGTATATAGCAACAGACTACGACTATTAGTGATTTATTAAAAATTCCGCCAGCTGCCACGCTGGCGTGTTCTTGTATTACACATAAAAACCTTCCTTATGACACCACCCTATCTATGAAAAAAACCGTCTGGAAAGCCGTTGTGTAGTTTTAAGGATTTAAGCATACATAGGGATATAGAGACAGAGAAAGAGACTTTGTTTTATATTATGTAGTGATGAACTACGTAATGTCAAAATCGCGTGATTGCTGGTTGCCCACTGAGCTCTGTGTTATTTCGGTTGTCCTCAGAATTTGTCAGAGTTCCAGAATAGGGGGGCAGATCTTGAAAATCTTTCACCCACGGAAACTTTTTTGAATAGGGAAATTTAGAAATGAAAGTGGTTATATCCTTGATCCAGCAGAATGAATGCGTTACCTTGTGATGGTGGAACCACACTAACAGAAAATGCCGGTAATTACGGCATTTTGGTAAAATTTTGCAACTGAAGTGAAAAGTAGATTGTAACACACGGCGCTTAAAATTATTCATTGTCATCATTATATAATATCTCCACTGCTGAGGCTCAGTTCTTCCGTATGGATAGAATCGAAGGAAATCGAATAGGGATAATGGGCCATGACCCATCACGCTGTCCCAATGGCGATTGGTTGATATTAACAACTGCAGATGTAGCCGGGATCAACGGCTTAACGTGCCATTTGAAGCACCGAGGAGTTCGAGACAATACATTTTTGGTCATCCATCCTTTGACCGGTCATTACAAAAGTTGCTTAACAACCGAACTAACCAATGCGCAATCGAGCTCCTAAGATTATAACTTATTTTCTATTTAGTTCCGAGTCAAATAATACGATATAGTCACGTACGTATTGAATTGAGACCTCTTTTTCTGATCTGCGATTGAAACTATTATACAATACAAAAGGTTTATTCGATTAATATTGTTTGCTTCATATTTATTTTTCAGATTACAAAAAAACATATATATTTATTATACAGATTATACAATCAGTTTGAAATAGTACGTACATTTTTAAATAGATTATACAAAAGATAACCTGGTTAATAATTACACGTATGTACCTAGACTATTTTAGGATTATTGAAATAGTACATTTAAGTTACAGGAGAAAGTACAGACGACGGTGCGTCAGCTTAGTTAAAAGGTTAATTTCCTAAGAGTGTAAAAAGATGTTAAAATAAGTATCCACTCGTATAATATTTTTTATTTAAATTATATTACAATTAAAAATGTCCTACAAAAGATCTGAAATAGTAATAATAACATAACACCTGAGTTCGTATTAAGTAATTCATTAATATCAAAATGATTATGAATAAAACGTAAGTAAATATTCTACAAAAAAGGCAAATTAATATTCTGTAAGTGCCTTGGATAAACCTATATTCACTTGGTAAATACATTTACAACACATGCAGTTGGTAATAAGTAACGTCTTCCAATAAGGTTTTCCTAGGTATAATAACAAGATACCAAATCTGATGCACTTAAACACAAATAAATAACAATTAAAAGATGCTAATGTAAAATATGGAAAAATATTTATATCTTATCGAAGATAAAAAACTAAAAATAGTTGATATTATATTTTTAACTACATATTTATAACTATCTCAAGTATTATCTATCATTAATACTGCTTATAAGCTTAAATAATGAGTATGATTAGATATTTAAGTTATCTAATCTTCAGACGGACCCAATTGCCCCCTTTAAGGCCAAGATTGAATTTCCCCGGGACAAATTCAGGAGGGATACAGGTCCTCTCGCAAGGCTGTATCTCAAAATGAAGTAGCAACTGATAAAGCATCACTTTCACTTCGCATAGGGCAAACCTTGAACCTGTAGCAATAAAACGAGTTTGAATCCTGCATCGCGATAGTTAAATTTTTACACGGATGCTTATATACTTATAATTACTATATAAACGTATATAAACCAATAAAATGGTAAAAAACTATTTTCATCCAAAAATATATTCATTTTAACATTTCATTTAAAGTTGCCTAATATTTCTGTTCCTTTTATTTTTTAACTGAAAAATATCTTATATGCCAAACCGTTCCAACTAGCGGGAAATATCAAAACAATGAGTTTTTATATGAAAAACTCAATTAGTTCAAATTATATCTAATTCACTATGATAAGTGCTTACCAATGCAGTTTCTGGGGCCCAAACCAAAGGGCATGTAGGAGAACGGTACAATTGAGTGTTTATTTTCATCTGAAAAGCGTTCAGGATCGAACTTCATGGGGTTCGGGAAGTATTTTGGATCACGATGGATGGCCCAATTAGGGATTTGAACAACGTCACCTTTTCTTATCTGAAGAAAAAAATGATTTTTATAAATTAGCATTTATTAATTATTAGATCTTAATTTAAATGAACAAGTTGGAGATTTTTACATAATCAAGTGTCATTGGTTAAATTTACCCAAAGAATAAAGTTAGATCTGCCTAATCTATTTTAATGACAGATATTTATCATTTGATTTTCTCAAAATTATATACATTTAGGTGCTAATTATGCTACAGAATGAGTAGTCATTTTTCGGAAGACGTCATTTTATAAAATTTGATTACAATAGTTAAATATATATACATTATATTCACTTATTTTTTTTTTGTAGCACCGCCTTATTAATGTATCTATTCCATAACTTTCCGGTTGACTGGTAGAGAATGCCTACTGGCATTAAGTCCACCATTTGTACGTTTTATTTGTGCAAAGAAGTTTAAATAAATAAATAAATAAAATAAATTATATATTAGTATAGCTTTAGAAAGATTGAGAAACTGATTAGATGGTTTAAGTTAAATAGTATTCTACAAAATTGTTATAATCTCTAAAGAATTTTAATGGTGGCGAAACGATGTTGACAACTGAAGTGATTATCACTTGTGATCGATTCAAGCAGTACACTTTAGAGAATACTACCCGCTCTATGAAATTGCTCAAACGATGGCAACTCTCTGAATAACGCCTAAAGTTTTCTTACCACTCAACCTTAACAGATGTCGGAGACCAGGGAGCCAATTCTACTAAATAAATTTTGTTTAAATCGAATCGAAAACGGATCGAAACCGAACGAAACTACAGTTTTTAATGGTTTTTCTGTTCTGCTAAGTGACATACGATATAATTCCAGCTAAAATAGAACTGGAATTGTATCGTATGTCACTTTTTAGAATAGGAAAACCATTAAAAACTGTAGTTTCGTTCGGTTTCGATCCGTTTTCGATTCGGTTTAAACAAAATTTATTTGGTAGAATTGGCCTCCAGTTATCAGGCGATAAGAATAATAAATCAAATATTTTTTTATTTACTCACGATATAATCTTTTGGCGCTTTATCGTTTGCTTTTCCCAAGTTATAATCTTTTGTGCATATGCGATCTAAAGCAACGGCTGGAGACCACAATCGCAATACCTCTGGAAAATGAATTTTAATCAGATTAATAAGTATATAATTAATTTACATTTAATTTCAATATGAGAACGCTTCAAACATAATTAGCACGCTATCTTAGTCGGTTTGTAATAGTGCATTTAGAATTAAGTCAAGAAGGTATACAAAAAATAAGTTAGGAGTTGGCGCCTAAATCTGGCGCCTAAATATTTAGGAATTACCTCAGGTAAAAATGCATTTCACCATTGAGTAGGAACCACCTAAAACACCGAAATTAAGCAATGCCTAAAAATTATCGTATTGCAGCGCCTTGCGCTAGGCGTTTGCATATACCTATGACAGGTCATAAATATGTCAAGGGATAAAATAAAATAATATTTATTTGAAATTAAACTAATCAGTTTAGGCGATTCATAATATTAGGCATTTCCTAGTTAAGCTATTTTGTTGTTGTTTAGTCAGTTTGGGTTAGTGAAAATGGGTGTTGTCATATAAACTAAAATTTGTATACAAAATTTCAACATCCTCGTCTCTTGAAATTTTGCACCCTAACCTAGTCATTGCAGGTTACATAAAAACTTATAAGTATTAATAATGTTTAAAGGATTTCTATTTAAAGCGAATGCATGGTGTTTGATAGCCGAAATTATTATTATCAGCCCTTTTTCCCAGTGCAGGGCTAAAGCCTCTCTTATGATAGTTAACCCATCCTGGGTTATAACGCTCCACGTTGGCTTTATGTCGATTGGAAGGGTATTAACTATAAATAAAGCCAGGACCAACGGCACATGCCTTCCGAAACATGGAGTAGCTCGACATAATAATTTTTGGTCAAACATCCCGTTACCGACCCTTGAAAAATGCAATAAACTGTTCCAATACCTGACACCACCATGTCCATGTAAACCATATTCTGTATAGAGATGAAATCAAACTTTCCCCCGTTTTGGGCCTCGTTCTCCTTAATTTCCTTCACTAATCTCTCCTGAATGTCAGGACTGACAGCCATCTGATATATCGCGAAGGTCATCGCAGTAGATACAGTTTCGAAACCAGCAAGGAAGAACAGAACTGCTTGAGCAATCAAGTCTACATCCGACCATTCTGTAAGTTAGCAAGTTAATGTTTAAGTTATATTTTTCCGATCTCTTTAGTTAGTTTTTTTTACATATTTTTTAAATACTTGTCATTTTATATAATCGTTGAAAATAAAAAGAAATTAATTGTCATCAATCGTTTGTTCCGTATATATGATATCCATACTAATATTATAAAGACGATTTGATTGTTTCTTTGTTTGCATCGAATAGGTTCCGAAACTACTGGACCAATTTTAAAAATTATGGGAAGCTACATCACAGGAGGGGGTGGCATAGGCTATAATTTAAGCGGGCGAAATTGCGGGAAAACAGCTAGTATTGTAATAAAGCCATCATTTTAACAAAATATCCCATTTCGCTCCGCTTCATTGTGTATGAATGAATATTTACAATAACTATTATCCTTGTAATAATAATTATAGGATTTTTTTACCCCTGTTCACTGTCTTTGTTCCGATAGCTGACTCATCTACAGTAGCAAATCCTGCATCTATATCTTTAGTTTTTTCTTCGTGCACTAAGTTTCCTGTAAAAGTATTTTGAGTTAAACATACCCACAGTTACAAGTCAAATATCCTCAATTGATTTTGAACTCTACTAATAATGTTTTTTAAAATAAAAAGTCAGGCTTTACAAAAATTAAAATTATAAAACCTGACGTGACGACTGTACATAGATAGACAGATAGAATGTTGTTATCTAAATATTATTTCAGACATATAAAACACTCCTAGTGTAAAAAGTTTAATTTTGAGAATTTGACATTCGTACGGACATTTTAAGTTTTCAATGCCCAATTATAAATATTGTTAATTAAAATGTCCTTTTAGTAAAACTAACCTTTTTGTGCTTGCATCAGTAAATGTATCATATCTGGTCGTATAATATTATTTTTCTTTCGGTCAACTATCGTATTTAGAAAGAGGCTCTTGAAAAAAACTGCCGTTTCCTCAGAAAACATTTTTACGTTCAGCATCTGCAATCAATAATGATTACTATTTGAATTTAATTCACTTCAAAATAACAGTAGGTGCGCGTATAATTATTGTCCTTGGTACCTTGGAAAGTGATGGAAAATAAGTGAATAAGAAAAACTTAAGGAAAAAAATTAAGCCAAAATTTGTGAGAATTTTCCCCATTCTGAAGAATTCATTGTTCTCTTCGGCGATGGAGTCTACTTTAAGTCCAAAAGCGCAGGTAGCAATGACGTCATTAGCATATCTAGTCGTCAAATCCTTAGCTTCGATATCTAGCTGTTTATCTGTTGAAAAAATAGTATGGTAATAATGAAAAATATAATGAACATTGTATGAGACATTTGAAAAGAAGTAGAAATGTAGTATAAAAAATGCCTTCATTTTAAAGAATAATCAAAAAGTGTTATAAGAAATGTTAGCAAGTTAAACGGGCATTATCCCTATTATTAATAAAAGTAAGACAATGATAATATAATGCTATTTCTCACAAACATTCTTTGTATGTTAAATTATTAATATATTATGTAAGTTTTGAATTATAGATGACATTTGCTCTATATACAAATCAGAAGTAACTTTAGTAATTTCTTTCGAATTTTTCGTAATTTTTAAAGTGATATTGTCGAATGGATAAATGTCATTTTTTGACGAAAAACTCACCATCTGATTTTTTGATTTGTCTCTTTAATGATTCAATCATTCTGTCGCCTACTTCCACGATAAATGGAAGCATTAGTTTCATTTTGGAGCTGGTAAATGCCGGACTGAGAGTCGATCGCATATCTTTCCATTCTTCCCCTAAAAAGTTTATATTGTAACCAATAGTTCTGTTCTGTCTTGTTCAGTTCTGGTAATGATTGAATAAATTATACTTACCCTTCATCGAAAACAGATTTCTCCCAAACAACGGATCTATAGTGCCATCTACCATTGTTTTGTGATCCAAAAAGTGCTCAAAATCTTTAATCGTGATCTGCTTTATTAGTTCTATATCTCTGATGACCACCACAGGGTTCATGAACTCATATTGACCGAAGAATCTGCTCAAGTAAATTGAGGTTTAAGTGAAAACGATTACACAAAGGCACATTGGAAACCAAGCTATACGGTGTTTTGGTGGGAAGTAACTCGATTATGGTTTCCTGGGTCTCGTTCTCAGGAGGGTATATCGAAAGGGTTTTGGTGAATAGACCTCTGATGATGGAGAAGAGTCCCCCCCCATCCACACGCCACGAGGCAGAGATGTGCTCTAAACATTTTCCCCCTTCGTCAAGCACATAAAAAAATCACATGATCAATAGATTAACCTTTCTGATTTTGGACGCTTAAGAGGAAAACAGAGAGTATAAAAGTACTGTACAGATTGACAAAGACGTTTTTTGCTGCTAGGGTTAGCGTATGAGACAAAGATCAATGCACCATTTCGATTGTGGCATGCTATATCTAAACATTTTTTAAATATAGTTAATACGGTAGCCATGATTGATATGTTTTACAAAAATTGACTTTAACGTGAGTTCAAAACAAGTTTAAGAGACAGATAAATGATTTGGAATTTTTACCTTTCTTCAGAATACATTTGGTATATCCGATTCAGATTGTCGACTACATGTTCTCGGCCTAACATGATACTCAATCCGTTGCCCAACAGTGGGACTGGAGTGAGGTTCTTCACGCCATATTTCGTGAAGACGGAATATTTTCTCTTGAAATATAACACCAACGCCGCGGTCAGCACCACAATCCAAATGAGAAGTAACATGACCTGAAAAATATCTTATTGTAACCGATTTTCTATGGTTTAATACCTGTCGAAGAGAGAACAATGGGTACTATGTATAAATCTTGCTTCTATATCCTAATGATTTCTTTTTTTTTTCTGCTATTGTCTTTACAATAACGTGATTATGTGGACATGGAAACTCATAGATCCCATAAGAAAGACCTGGTGAAGGGTAAAACCGGCGACAGGCAAACTGACATTAAAGACAAACCAACGACAACATGTACATCGAGAGACCTGGTGAAGGGGAAACCTGGTGTCAGGCCGATGCACAAAGACCATGACAGAGACAATGACAGACCAACTTCATCCCGTGTCTTGACAGACCTGGTGAAGGAGCAATCCGGCGACAGGCAACAAGCGCGAGATGATGACCTTGATTCCTGGCAGCAAGTCACCCACCGACGTAGAAATCGGCAGGGTGGAGATAGGAATCAAGACCAAACCACTGACACGACAGGACGCAGAAGGACCAAACTGGGACAAAGAGCTAGGAAGGCCCGTAACAGACAAAGAGCTGAGGAAGCCAGTAAGACGACTGTTACGGGTCAAGAGGCTAACACCCGGGACAGACAGACTTCTGAGGGGACAATACTACCGGCTTCAAAGAGGCCCAGACTGGACGACACGGTCTCTCCAAGGGGTGACCATAAGAAACCTAAATCGGGGGAACCGCGTCGAACACCGGCAAAAATATCATTCGCCGATGCGGCCACAGCTGACCTACTGGTGGTAATCACCAGCCAAAAAACAGGACACCTGACAATAGCCCAGGCAACACAAGTGCTAGCAGCCCTGGAGGAAGCCGTCATAATGGAGACGCTAGAGGCGGGGCCATCGACTGATGAGGGACCGAACCTGAAAGGGAAACCGACAATCGGGGACGGGGTGCTCAGTCTTTGGTGTGAGACACCCAAAACTCTTCAGTGGGTAAAAAAGACTGTGGCAGCCATGAAAATCCCGGGGCTGGATGACCTGACAGTGCAAAGGCAAATAGACAGACCAAAGAGGGTGGTATGTGGACTACTTGTGCCTGGCACAAGGGCTCCACATATGACAGCTAAACTATTGAGGCATCAAAATAAGTTTGCTGACGTGGATAGATGGATCCTGCATAAGGCCATCGCTGGAGAGGACAACACCTTCCTCATTTTCAGCACCACTAGAGACGTGGCAGAAAAAATTCTGGCAAGAGGGAGGCGACTTTGCTACCTGATGGGCTCGGTTTACGTCCGATTCCGGCATCAGGATGGCAAGTATCTGGACAGCCTGCCACCTCTGGAGGACCAAACCTCAGCCCCGACACCCAGTACAGAAGCCGGACCATCAACGGCAGCTACACAAGAGGCCATGGACATTCAAAAACCGGAGACCTCGACTTCTGCGAAAGGGAGTCGTAACGAAAAGGACGTGATTGACGAATGGGCGGACAGACTCGGTGGTATCGACATCAGCCAGGAGGTGGATGTCGACGTTTTGCTTGCGTCTGATGGCGCTACCACCGACTAATACAACATTTTTGCAGACAAACCTCCAGCACAGTCGCGCAGCAACGGCTCAACTAAAGAAGTGGCTGGAGGACAACGACAAAACTGAGGCTATAGCTCTGGTCCAAGAGCCGTGGATCAGATCCAATAACATCTGTGGCCTCAGCACTACGAGTGGTAAGACTTTTTACAACTCAGGTAACCGAGCACCGCGGACCTGCATTGTTTGCTCCAAACACATGCAAGCCCAAATAATGTCAAATTTCTGTTCTAGCGACCTAACTACAATAACAATTAAACAGCAGCAAAATCCAAGTGTACCTATCCTGGTGATTGCCTCTGCCTACATGCCGGAGGGAGAGGAAGCACCGCCAAGAGAACTGGTTGAACTGGTACGACACTGTGAACAAACGAACAAGGCGCTGATCATCGGCACTGACTCCAACGCGCACCACCAATTGTGGGGAATGACCAAAAGCAACAAACGAGGTGAGGAACTGGTTGATTATTTATTCACAACTAATCTTAACCTGATCAACAAAGGCTCAAAGCCTACTTTTGTCACGAGAAGAGCTAGAAGCATAATTGATCTTACGTTAGCGACTAAAGAGGCGGCTGACTTGATTTCCGACTGGCAGGTCTCGTCAGAGGCCTCATGTTCTGACCACATGTGGCTCAGGTTCAACATGACAACACAAAACATGACAGTTGAACCGAGACGCTTACCAAGGAACACTAACAAAAGAGAATATCAGAAACAGGTAATACCGTTACTAGACTGTATACAAGACAAGAGCTGGCGGGATATTAACAAAATCGACGAGGCAGCTAAGGAAATAAGTGAGGTAATTAAAACAGCCTATTACAACAATTGCCCGCTCAAACAACTATCATCAGACTCAACCCACAGCTCAACTTGGTGGGGTCCTGAACTGCAGCGACTAAGGACAAAGGTGAGAAGACTATTTAACAGAGCAATGAACACATATGATGACCGGAACTGGGATGCATACAGAGATGCAAAATTGCTCTATAAAAAGCGTATACGACATTGGAAGCAAAGATCCTGGAGGAATTTTTGCTCCGAAATTGATTCGTGCACGAAAGCCAACAAGGTCAGGAAACTATTATCTAAGGACAAACAACAGGACATTGGACAACTACGCAGAACAGACGGCTCACTCACTGACACACATGAGGAGGCGTATAAGGTTCTACTAGAAACTCATTTTCCGGGCTGCGTGTTGCAAACCACGCAGAACTGGGAGGACACAAACTGCACCCCTACTGAACAATCCTGGACCACCGCACAAAGGACGGTGTCTACGGATAAGGTAAAATGGGCAATAGACAGCTTTAAACCATATAAGGCAGCTGGACCGGATGAAATCTTTCCAGCGCTTCTACAATGGGCCAATAAAGCAGTGACAAGAATACTGGTGCCTCTTCTGCGGGCCTGTTTAGCACACAGATATACCCCAAAGCTATGGAGAGAGGTCACGGTGATATTCATCCCAAAACCAGGTAAATCTGACTACAATGATGCAAAATCGTATAGACCTATCAGCCTCTCATCTTTCTTTCTAAAAACTCTAGAGAGATTATGTGATAGAGAGCTTAGAGACAACCAGCTTAAGAACGTACCGTTGCATCCTAACCAGCATGCATATACATCTGGCAAATCGACAGAATCCGCACTTCACTCCGTAGTAAGTACGATAGAGGGAAGTCTCAAAAGGAAAGAAATATGTCTAGGCACTTTCATAGATATTGAAGGAGCTTTTGACAAAACCAGTTTTGATAGCATAGCGAAAGCCCTAGCTGCTCATGGAGTAGAGGACACCATCACACAATGGGTAAGCAACATGCTGCGAAACAGGCTAATAACACTGCAAGGCGACAACAAGATCAAAGCAATAGCGACTAAAGGTTGCCCACAGGGGGGAGTACTATCGCCACTTCTGTGGAATGTGGTGGTCAACGAATTGATCGCCAACTTAAACAACCGTCGATTCCAAACGATAGGATATGCAGATGACTTAGTAATAACAATCTCGGGCAAATTTGCGAACACACTGTGCGACGTCACAAGAACTGCACTGAAAGTTGTGGAAAAGTGGTGCAACGACTATGGACTAAAGGTAAACCCTGCAAAAACAGAAATGGTAATGTTTACTAACAAAAGGGTACTAGGCGAATACAAACTTCCAAAATTATTTGGCACGACATTGAATCTCTCCAACGAAGTAAAGTATCTAGGTGTCACACTGGATGCCAAACTGAACTGGAGTACACAAATAGACAAATCCATCACAAAAGCCAACATCATCTTCTGGCAATGCCGCAGGATGATCGGTAAGAAATGGGGACTAACTCCACATATTACTAAATGGCTATATGAGACAATTATTAGACCCATCATAAGCTACGGCGCAATTGTCTGGTGGACAAAGACTACACAGGCAACAACTATAAACAAACTTAAATGTCTCCAAAGACGTGCCTGCTGTGCAATCACTGGATGCATGAGAACAACCCCAACAGCAGCGCTAGAGACGATACTCAACGTAAGACCACTACATCTCTTTATACAACAAGAAGCCATGTGTGCAGCCACACGGCTAAAAATGCTGGGACTATGGAGGGATATTAGTATCCCGCACACTAACATCTTAAAAGACATTAATAAGGAATACCCCTTCTTCATGGCCACCAATGACTTAACTCCCAGGAGGTATGTTTTTGACAAGAAATACAAAATACAACTCTACGAAGACACACCAGATCTCTGCCTTCACAAAGAGCTGAGGATCTTTACGGACGGCTCTAAAACTGACATAGGTACTGGTGCTGGTGTTTTCTCGGAGGATCTAAATATCCACATATCCACGGCACTGGGAATCTACAACACAATATTCCAGGCTGAATGCGTGGGTATATTAATGGCTGCTGAGGCAATTATAATCCGGAGAGTAAAAGGTAAAAATATCCGTATTCTCTCTGATAGCGCATCGGTATTACAAGCTTTAAATAACAATATGATGACATCAGGTCTACTGCACGAATGTCACTGTAAGTTGACAGAGGTATGCATAAGAAATAAACTGACCTTACAATGGATTAAGGGGCACAGCGGGTCAAGAGGAAATGACGCGGCAGACAGCTTGGCCAGAGAAGGGTCAAGCAGAAAGCCCATTGGACCGGAACCCATTATACCCATTCCATTTCGACAGCTGAGAAACTGGGTAAGAGAACGCTGTCACAGACAACACGACGAATACTGGACTCAAACGACTGACTGCAGGCAAGCCAAAGAAGCAATCCCCAAGGTAGACCTGCAACTGGCACGTAAGTTAATCAAACTACCTAGACAAACGTTGAGACTAATAGTAGGTATACTAACTGGTCATGGCTATTTTAACAAACACTTATATAACATGGGTATCTCTGACAGTTCTCTGTGCAGGGCATGCCTGGACGCTGAAGAGACAAGCGCTCACGTACTACTGGAATGCAGGGGCGTTTCAGGACATAGGACTACACATCTGGGTAGCCCACAGACATTAAAGGAGGCTTGCGGCAAAGTCAAAGGACTCATGGGCTTCCTGGAGGAGCT